GGACTACTTTCCCTTGAATTAAATGCATTTAGCAGTTTTGCATCATCACCCTCACTGCCACCCGTGGATTGTGGTGGGGTATATTGTGAGTTGTAATGATTTAAATATTGTGCATCATGCTGATGATGTTGTTGCTGTTGTTGGTCTTTGGGATCCACAAATAATATTTTTGTCTGTTGTTCGTTTTGTGTCGGCCTCATTTGTTGTTGATCGACCTTTTGCATAAACAAATCATACAGCATAACATCATCATCCACAATGACAGGGGTCTCGGGTCTATTTTGTTGTGTGGGTGGTGATGTTTGCAAAATATTAGCTGTTGGTGGCAGTTTAGTTGGCGGTGGTGGTGGGGCAGTTGTGTCTTCCACATCGACTTCAATATCGCTACTATCACCTTTACTATTTGTATCATCTAGACGGTGAAATATCTGTACTCGTATATCGCAATCCTTACAGATATTACCCAATGTCGGAGTGGTTCTTAGTAACTGGAAATACAAAAAAATATATATTAAAAAAACTGTAATAACATACTTACAAAATAGGAAAGCAAATTTTCCAAATTTTTTAAAAATATTTTTCAAGGCCTAGTCTGAGACGTGGATTTTTCAAAGAATATTTGTTTAAACATAGTTTGAGTCGTAGATTTTTTTATTTCTTCAAAACCTAGTTTGAGGCGTAAATTTTTTTATTCCTAGAAACCTAGTCTTATTATAAAGAATATTTTTTAAGTTTTAAGGTCTAGTATCAGACGTGGATTTTTTAAAAATAGGTTTTAAGTTGGACGATCTCCAGAAAAATACTATTTAATTTTAATGAGGACTTTAAAACAAACCCCCAAGATTTTCAAATTAACTTAAGCCCCTCAAATTTAAGCAACTCCCCACAATTTTCCTAAAAAATTCCAATGCAAAATTAAACATGGAAGCTCCCATATATACGATATCATTATCAAATTTGAATGTATTGGTGTGCGTGCGTACGTTCGTTCGTTCCAACATCAATTGGGCTTTCTCATTCATGCAAAAAATATTCTTTTTTCTGCTCACCTTTTGTGACGCCTTATCAATCGCCGCTGATCCCTGGATATCCTGTACGGATAGCCGTTGTCGTTTATTGAATTCCCTTAGTTGAGCTTTGGTGAATTTTAAATTTTTCTCCGTACGGCAAATTCGACAGATTTTCCATGGTTTACCCATAATTGTTGCTTGTTTTTGGTCGCGAACGCTTGGTGTTTTTTTGGAAAAATCAGTATTTTGGTGTGTTACTTTCTTTGGTAACGTCGTCGTCGTACAGTAATTCTTGTTCAAGCATTTACACACTCACACACAATTCTTACGGAAATTATAATAAGAAAGTAAAATAAACAACTAAATAAAGAAAACAATATTTATATAGAACACAAATTTCTGAAATCAATCTACCGACTCAGACTCAATGATGAATATTGTTTATTGTTGGGACGAACTGACGAAAAGCTGACAACTGACAGCAGAAAAGGCGGCACATAATGTGAGTGACGGTAGAATGGGGTACCATTTTTGGTACGGTTGTCATTGAATGACAGTTGTGGTGAATGAATGTTAATTATTTAAGCAGAAGAAGAATATTCACAGATCTTTGGAATCCTAACTTTCGCTAACTGGGTGACCATATTGATAGATCTTGATGAAATCCATCAGAATTTAGTTTTAAATATAATTTAATGATGCCAACAATTGTAATAACTAATTAATTTAATTATTTGTTTTGTTATCAATCGTCAGTGAATTAAATGGCGCCACCAATTGTAATCGCCAGGGTAGATTTAATAAGGTACATGCATGAGAACAGCTGTCGGCTCAAATTACTGTCAAACAATCTACGATTTAGGACAATTGGCATATTTGCAATAAATTAAACGAAATTGGTATGTTCCCGTACTGCAAGAATCTACCAGTTGTTACTACGATAACGAATTTTCCTTTATGATATCGAAGAAAATAGTGAAATCGAGTAGATTCTTGCAGTATGGGAACTGACCAAATATATTACAATGTGGAACTCGTACTCATATACTCTGAGACACATATTCACTCTGGATGAGACCGGATTATTTCAGAGTTTTTTGCTTGTGCTTCAGGGAGAGAGAGAAATTTCTCCCATGAACTATTTATAAGTCGATAAAGTTCATGGGAGAAAGAATGTTACCGTGTCAGCAATTTATTACAACAAAACAATGTGGCAGATCCGAAGAGGTGCGCGTGTTATTCTTACGGGAGTTTATAGAGCACCCCGAGACCGGGCAAAGAGAAGAGTATTGCGCCGTATACGCTATCTTCAAAGTGGAGGAGGAACCACCACAATTGCAGCATCTCAAGTGGCATTAGAAATGCGAAATCATCCAAGGTGCTTGGTCCAGATCATGATGCAATAATAAGGTGATGTATCAAACCAAAAACCTTTGTTTTTGTCTCCATTATTTGTCAAATTTTTCAATATAATATTTCACATCGACTTCAAGTAGAAATTACCCACTTTGACAGTTAATCAAGACATCAGCTGAGCCAAATTAACTACCTATTCATTGTCCAGATGGAATCTCCATGGTGATGTCGAAGCAGCTTGATGAGCCAGGAGTAGAGTACCTTACTAAAGTCCTCAAATTCTCGGTAGTTCCCGATGCCTGGAAAATGGGCAGGGTGGTCCCGCTACTGAAGCCAGGCAAGGATGCCAGCAAAGGTGAGTCATACAGCCCGACAATTGAGGCTTTACTACTCCCTAGCATTCGTGAATGCTACTCAGTTGCTGATCATCAACATGGGTTCCGGAACAACAGCTTTGCACGCCGGAAGGACGCAACCAGAACATGCCGTGTAACAGGACAGTCGCTGAACCTATCAAAGGCATTTGATACCGTAAGTCAAGTCAAACTGTTCGAGGACGAGAGAACAACCCTTCAGCCAAGTTTGAAACGTTGGATCGTGAACTATATTTGTGGACGCCAGTCGTACGTGGAATTCAGAGACAGGAAATCGATGGCTCGTAGATTTAACCAGGGAGTACCCCAAGGAGGAATGATATCTCTGGGACTGTTTAACCCCTACCTCCCTGGAATTCCTTGCCCACCGGACGTTTATGCCGTCCGGATCGCAACATATGCAGATGATTGTACGATTATGGTGTCAGGACCTAAAATGTATGACATTTGCGAGAAACTGAATCAATATCTCGTGGATATTGCAGACTTTTAGCATTTAGAATTATCTAATGTGTACCAACTAGGCATTCATGATCTGAAGAGAGAGATCCAAAGATACAAAAGGGAGCCTCTAGATCAACAGGCCTATGAAGCAGGATTGAATTGTGTTCGCAAGGATGCAGTTGAGGAAGCAATTCGAGAATATCGTGTGAATACTATCCTCGGAGATCACCGCCTACGATAGCTGCAGAAGAGCAGTAGCTACCTCGTCAAAGTGGTCTTGGACAGTTAAGATCAGGATGGTGTAGCCGCCTCAATTCATATTGCGCACGGATTGATGGAGAAGTCGATAATATCTGCCCGGTATGTGGTAATGGACAACATGACACGCTACACCAATTCAACTGCCCAGCCAAACCCCCACACCTAACCCAATCTTCTCATTGGACTCAACCTATACAGGTCGCATCCTTCCTGAACTTGGAGTTAGAAGCAGAACCAGATTATAGAGAATAAGAAGAAATACACAGCAGAACAAGCTGCTACGACAACAAATAATGTTGTTGTAATAAAAAGTTCTTGAAAATTCGTAGATTTTTTTATTTTTGATTATAATTTAAAAACATAGACATTTATTTGTACCAACAGCTGTGCTGATGCGACCACCTTATTAACTCTGCCTTGATAGTACCAGATGTTCACGTTTTCATAAGGGAAGCCAATTCACGGTAGTGAATTACCTTTGTAATAGACCTTGATGTCACCCATGCTTTCTATTTTCAATGAATCATATGATAACATATTTCAATCAGAATAGCCGATGAGGATTGCGTACTGGTGACCTTTTAAAAGTAAAATAAAATTTATTGGGTCCATTTTTTCGATAATATATGACCAGTTCCCGTACTGTACGAATCTATAAATTTTTAAAATTTTATCGGTATCAAAAAGGAAAATTTGTTATACTAAAAAATTAGTAGATTCTTGCAGTACGGGAACAGACCAATAGTTAAATGTACAGAGAATGACATGGTACAATTATAAAAGGTAACAGCAAATCCCAGCTGATTTGATTCCAACGTAATACTAGTGTCAAATTTTTAAAATTTTAAAAATCACCCAACAGGAAAATTATCAAAAAGAAATTGAAAATTTGTTATATCTGCCTGCTAAAAAATCTTTCTTCATGGAATAACTCGCGAATTCCCAGCATTTTCATATGGGTTACACATATAAGTGGCAATGGCTAAATTATAGGAAAGATGTGGAAGCGATTGAAATATAAATTTTATAGATTTTCATTCATGTTTTTCAATTTTTATTTTGAGGATTCGAAAATATTTCATTTTCAAAATAAAAATAATTTGATGATATTTTGTTTGTTTGTTTACATTTTTCTGTCAAATGAGTTGACACTAGTAGAACTTACAACAACAAATTTCCATGTGGTTGTTGTATCGTTTTTTGTACAACAACACTTGCTGTTACCTTTTATTATTATACCATGAGAGAATGATTAGTTATGTTTTGTGACCTGTTAAATGGGCATTGATTTCCTTGTTTAAAAATCGATAACAAATAAGAATAATCGATGTATTAACAATGATAATCTACCTACATTCCCCTGGTCGGGTTTTGCCAAGTGAATGGCGGGATTTGTGCGAGAAGAAGAAGATAAATAAGCATAGCTAGCCGCAAAAAATATATTAGTGGAATTTATTAAAGAAATATATCCGAGAAACTACCAAATTCCAAGTTTTACTTGTTATTGTCTCTTGTTGTTTTCTATTATCGATCCACTGTAAACAACTTTCACATATCAATGGAAAGTTTAAGTTATCGGGAAGTCATACCGACCAATGCTTGTCAGGAGGAATGGCATGAAATCACGCTAAACACGGGTAAATATAAAGAGGCTTAACTATTAGCATTTTCTAAACTTTTTTGTATCGATATTTTACGACAGGTGGTACCCATAGCACGCTACAGGACATTAAAGTTGCTGAAAAAGCCGGAGGTTATTGTTACAAAAATGTTGCCCTCAATCACAATCGTAATCGTTATATTTATTGGCGTTCCTATCAGGATGTCTTGGAGCTAACTGAAATTAGTTTGGATTTTAATTTATATCAAAATAATCTGCGATATAAATTTACGGATTCTCCGGTGCTGGCGGTGAGCATAACGGAATGCGGCGAACATGTTATTTTACTTGTCAGTACGGTGTGTAGTCTGCATCGTATAACCTTTCCACATCCCGATTCGTTGGCGGAGGGTTCATGTTCATCGAGTTCGTATAGTAATACAACCGGTGCTACAAATATACCCTCGGTGGAATTTAATGAATCGCAATCGTATTCGATATTCTTTGATGCCAGTGTTACGGCAGCACGTGATCCGAGCAGTTTTTATGTTATTGACACACCGCTGGGAGGTTCAAGTAAGTATATATGTACATTGTTCCAAGGAATTGATAAATTGATTTAATATGTTTTCATTTACAGATAATCATGTGCCACATGCCGCTTCAAGTTATTTATCGGAAAATGGCGAAGAGGCCTATTTCGCCTTGGCATGTCAAAACCAACTGATGTTGTATACCATGAATTGTTCAACGGGCCATACCATTGGCCATCAACTAAAGGAGCATCATATAATGCCTAGACTATTTTCGAATCTAAAAGGAGCACTGATGTGAGTTTTTTTTTTTTTTTTTGTGTAATGGTACTGTATTTAAAATTTCAGAGGTAAAAGTGATACATCCGATGCCGATCATGCCAATTCAGTTGTGTTCACCTGCATTAATAATCAAATCTTGTTATTGGCATTATATCGTAATGATCACTTGCGGGTATGGTCATGTGTTAATATGCAAAGTTTGTGTGTCATTAATTGTGTCCGTGAAGGTAGTGAGCAGCGATTACAGGGACGTAAGTATTTCATTTACTAAGGGGGTAATATTTTGGGTATTTGGTAATTATTAATTTTGTTTCATTTTTTTCCTTGCGAACAGCCCAAAGTAATGCCTTGCGTAAAATCAATGAAAACAGTTTCTGTGCTTTCCTTTCTCATGCTTCGGGCTCGGAATTTGTATGCGTTGATTTATTGGCCGACTCGAGTAATGGTTCGGGTATTAATTTACAGCGTCGCCGCATTATAGCGGCCCCTCAATTGGATTTAACCGATTTCGATGTCTGCAATTCACGTATATGGGCATTGTGGAGCAATGCTGAGGGTGAATTTAGCATATCGAGTTTTTCTCTGCTGCGTGGTATGAATTGGGTATCGGCTGCAATGGAACCACCACCAGATCGTTATTGTTTGGGCATGGAACAGGGTATGGATCCGCGGGAGGCATATTGTTCGTATATATTTCATCCAGGGAAATTTGAACGTAGCGTTATCGCAAAGGCATTGTTTGTAAGTATAATTTTGAAAAATTCCAATTTTTAATTATTTATTTTATGTATATGTACCATTTCATTTTCTCAGATGTTCCGTCGTTCCAATGTCCGTTTCGAGGGTAAAAATTGTACCATGACCTTGCTGAAGGAACACGTCTGCCAAGCCATCGAAGATGAAATCCAAAACGAGGTGAAAGATTTCGATGTCTCCGATGACGACTATTTGGAAATATCCACTCGTTTGTGGGAACGTTTCTATTCATGCTGCGAACAGTATCACATGAAAGCATCCCAACCAAGTGGACTGGTCATACTCGAGCCCCTCGATGCTGTGTGCGTTGTGAAAAAGAATGCTTTTTCCCTTTTGCGGCCTTGCGAAACCATTGAACACCTAATGTTAGCCGGCGAAGATGTTGACGTGGAGGCTGTGGTGCCATCATATTTTGCTGACGCCGAGAAATCCGGACGTGATATGGTCAATTTAGTTGGTATCTTATCACAAATTGAAAAGTGGCTGCCGGAGGATATTAAAATCGATATGGATCGTAAGCTCTATCAATTGGAAATGCCCAATGTTCTAATTGAAAAGTTGACAGAGGATTTGCTGGCTGGCGATACGGAGAAGGAGCTGTTGCCTCGTAACTTTTTGGTTTACATACGACAAAAAATTCAAAATATCAAAGATCTCCGTATGGCCATCAGCATGCTATTGGATTGTCTGCGTATGGATAATGGTAATCCGGAAACAATGCAAGCTAATTATGCCCAACTGGGACATTCCACCAAATTTCTAATGTCCCTGGGAGCATTGTTTGGCAGTCAAGTGGGTTTGTCTCTACTCTCCGAGACGGTGAGGCAAAATTCCCTAATCCGCTTTGCCATTTGTCGCAATTTATTGTTGTTGCAACAAATACTCATCAACACTCATTCATTGCCCGTCGACATGTTGGAATGTTTCCGTTCGCAGTTCATGTCCGATATATTGATTTTCCTGCAATCGTACTATGTTATGATATGGATTTCGGAGACCCCGGTTAACATCAATGCGGCGGCTGGATTGGAATCATCCATACAGAGATTGAATCTGTTGCAATTGATAAATGGTTCGGGACGCATCTACAACAATGGTGGAAAATGCAATTCGGCCCCATTGCTACAGGTATTCTTAAATGCCAAAGGTCTGTACACAGCCTTGGCTTTATTTTCCGATAGTTTCAAGGTCTTGGAAAATGTGTCCTGGCAACAAACCCTTATGCCACTGGCGACCATTATCAGCCAATTAATATGGGCAGTGTCGTTTAATTTTGTGTTCGGCGAATGGTTGTTCAGCACCTGTCAGCACATCATCATAGCCGATTATGTCCGTCTGCTGAATAGCTGGTGTGAATGGAATATTTGTTCACGACACTTCATCCTCGCCGTCTCTCTGCTGGACAGTGGAGAATCCCAAAAAGCCTATGACCTTTTCTTACAGTCGGCTAAGGGGGTGGTCAGGGAACAATTTCTAGCCGAGAAAATGTTGAAAAACACCCCCTACGAACATTTGGTGGAGAATCTGGGTGACTTTGAGGGTGATGAGGCGGCCAAGGTGAAAATGATCAATCAATGTATTGCCCAATACTATTTGAAAGTGATCCAGCTGTTTGAACAACATAACGCCCTGGATCACATCATCAGTATGGCGCAGGTTGCAATCGGGCTATTGGATAAACACGACCCACAATTGCCAATGTTTCAATCGATTGTCTTCAATAATCATCTGCAGCTGGAACACTATGAGGAGGCCTACCACTCGTTAATATACAATGCGGAGCTGTCGAGGCGTAAGGATTGTCTGCGACAATTGGTCATAACGTTGTTTGGCCGTAAACGTTACGATTTGCTAATGCACTTCCCCTATGTCGGTCTACATGAGGAATTTGAAAATATTGTCGAATCCAGAGCCCGGTCGCAGTCAATGGATCAGAATGATATCTATGATTTTCTTTATGCTTTTCATGTTAACAATGGCAATATGCGGAAAGGTAGGTAAAAAATAAGAGTTTTTTAATATTTTTGGCGGTTCTCAGGCGGGTGTGGATTTTTTTAATTTTATTTAGGAATATTTAACAAAAAGTCTCCTTAAAAATAAATAATTTGCCTTTTTCCAGCCTCTGCCATTATGTATGAACAATCAATGCGCTATCAATTGGAAGGTGATTCATTGGAAGCGCTCAACAAACGTTTCTCATCCCTGTTGGTGTGTTTAAATTGCCTGCATTTAATTGATGAACGTTATCGTTGGATTGCCAAACCCATAATTGGCGATGAGTATGACATACACAACTCATCCAAAGATTCAGCAATGGAGGACGAGGCGGATTCTGGAGATGAACAGACATCATCATCATCGTTTAATAAAACACAAGTTGTTGTTCTCGAAATTAAACATATCAAGCGAGAACTTTTACACACTGAAGCTCTCATTAATTTGGCCGGACATCGTAAAGATATACATTCATTTTTGAATGCTGGGCCCCAGGAATTGGCAATGATTTTAGCCAGTTGTGGCCTTTACACATCTGCCATTAAATTAGCCAAGGGATTTGATATCAGCTTATTACCCATATTTGACAGCCTAGCATCAGCTTGTGTCCGCACCGCTGATGAACCGCCCAGTGAACCATGGTCATGGTTGCAAGAAAATGATTTGGCCGATTTACCACATCGTAACAAAGCCGCCGATATGGCATGGTCATTGCTGCGCAAACTTGTTGAAGATCACGAACAGGATAATTCAACGCTAATACGTAAATCAGTGGTCAACAAACTACTTAATCTGCAGGCCTTTGTTCCACAATGGCTTTACAATGACTATAAGTTGGCAAATTGTTCCGAACTGCTATACCTTTATGTTAAACATAATCGTTTGCTAGAAGCTGCCGAACTTGCACAGGAAATGCTTTCGGCAATGTTGGGTGCCGGCAGTGAATACTTCAGTTTCCAACACTCCATTGCCGTTACAAATGCCGAAATGTGTTTACCGCTAAATACGTTGGATATATTGCTGCATGGCCTGAAACTAAATGCCGATGATATTGAATATAAACAGGCTCAAGTGGAATTGGAAGAGAAGCTGCATAAATATATTGAAACGGCGACACGCACAGCACAGGATAAAATTGAAATGTCATTTCAGGTAAACCGGGGACGTCAACAGCAGCAATTAAATTGGAAGGCATAAGTTTATATATTTTTATAGTATAAAATTTGTATTGTAAGTTTTTTTTGTAATACTTTTGTGAAATAAAGGAAAAAATATTTGTTAAATGAATATAAATTGGATTTTTGTTTATTCGCGGTTTACACAGGCAACTCAAGATCTACTAATTAGGTCACCCAGCTAGCGAAATTCAGCTGTTTTTTTCTCAAGTCTAATGTCAAAAGTTTGGCTTTTGTTTACATTTTCACAATGGAAGTCAATTCATAATAATTATTTTCGACAAAAAAAATTGATTTATTAAATGCCTTGGTCCAAACAAGATCTATTAATAAGGTCAGCGGTTTTTTCTCAAGTTTAATGCCAAAAATTTGGACTTTGTTTACGTTTTCGTGATGAAAGTGAATTCACAATAATGGATTTTGGCAGGAAAATTGAGAGGCAACGTATCCAGCCGGTCTCTCTGGATGACCTTTTTAATAGACTTTGCCCAAATCGAATGTCCAAAGTTTGGACTTTGCTTACCTTTTTATTATGTTTTTAAAAATCAGCTGTTTTTTCTCTGTCTGATGTGAAAATTTTGGACTTTGTTTACGTTTACATTATGAATGTTCAGAGCAAACTTGAGAAGCAGCTTTTCTCCCGGGATGACCTTTTTAATAGGTCTTGTAGTCTACGTAATAATGGATTTTGACCGCAAACTTGAGAGGCAGCCAAGGTATATTTAATAAGGTAGACGCATCGGGCCAGCTGTTGGTGCAAATAAATGTCAAAAATTTTGTTGTAATGCTGAAGCAAAAAATTAAAAAAAACAAAATTATAAATGAAAATCTCCGAATTTCGAAATGCTTGTTTGGCAATACTTTTTTTAACATTTTCGACAAGAATTTGTGTAAAAAATCTTGGGAATCTGTTTGTTTTGCTAAAATATTTTTGAAATATAAAAATACAACAACCGATGTTTGTTGTATAAATTCGCCGATGCGGCTACCTTGGAGGCAGCTGGTCTCCCTGCAAGGCCTAATAATAAGATCGCCAGTAAGCCAGCTAAATATCTGCAGTTTGCTGTCAAAATCCATTATTGTGAATTAATTTCCATTATGATAACGTAAACAACATCAAAATGTTTGAAGTTATGCGGTGTACACACTAGCATTTTTGAATGGCACTCTTGCCCAAATTTTGCTTGTTTGATAGTGTGGCCTCACATGTTTGTCATTCATCAGGCAACCACAAAAATATTTATGGTTGTTGGACAGTCAGTAATCGATAAAAAAGCTGACAGTCAAAAATGATAGTGTGTACACCGCTTTAGACTTATGAAAAATAAGCTGACATTCAGTTGCTGGATAAGCTTAAAGGTCGTTTACATTTAACCGGATTTGGTTAACCCAGTGGGTTTAAATTTTCAATTCCTTTGAATATATGCCAAATAAATCCTCATAAAGTAGGTTAACCCGGTAAAAAGTTCTAATGTAAATGCCGTATTAATTATAAATCTTGGCCTCCCTTAATAGTTAACCTTTTTTTTTCTTTTTTCATAATGGAAGTCAATACCACATTTAAAGGACCCTTTCATTCAGAAACTTTTTAAATTTTAATAACATAACAATTTTTCTGAATTGTAGTTGTATGACATTTGCCGCACGACTTGATTAAGTCTCCATCAGCCCGCGATTTGTACAAAAACATCGTTATCGATTATTTCGATTACATGCAAACACGTATAGCCATGGTATAATAATAGACGGTAACAGCAAGTGTTGTTGTACAAAAAACGATACAACAACCACATGGAAATTTGTTGTTGTAAGTTCTACTAGTGTCAACTCATTTGACAGAAAAATGTAAACAAACAAACAAATTATCATCAAATTATTTTTATTTTGAAAATGAAATATTTTCGAATTCTCAAAATAAAAATTGAAAAACATGAATGAAAATCTATCAAATTTATATTTCTATCGCTTCTACATCTTTCCTATAATTGAGCCATAGCCATATATATGTTTAACACATATGAAAATGCAGGGAATAGCGAGTTGTTCCTTGAAGAAAGATTTGCTTCCTCAAACTTTCCCAGCAGGCAGATTGAGTAAGTTGAATACGGGAGCACATTTAATAAAGAACAATTACAAATTGTATGTGTTCCCAATTTTCCTGTTGGGAGATTTTTAAAAACATAATTTGTCAAATTCATATTGACACTAGTATTACGTTGGAATCAAATCAGCTGGGACTTGCTGTTACCTTTTATAATTGTACCATGACATATAGCATGGCTCAAGATCTATTAATAAGGTCGCCAAGATAGCAATCGAAATCGGAATTGACTTCCATTATGAAAACGTAAACAAAGTCGAAATTTTTGACATTAGACTTGAGAAAAAACAGCTGTTTTCCGATTTCGATTGCTATCTTGGTGACCTTATTAATAGCATGGCCTATAAATGACCAAGATCTATTAATAAGGTCACCAAGATAGCAATCGAAATCGGAAAACAGCTGTTTTTTCTCAAGTCTAATGTCAAAAATTTCGACTTTGTTTACGTTTTCATAATGGAAGTCAATTCACAATAAAGCATTTTGACAGCAAACTTGAGAGGTATCGATAATCAGCTGGTCTCCCTTGGTGACCTTATTTATAGGCCATGATCTTGACATATAGCATCTCTAGTCAAATGCGTTTGTGTCATTATCAGCTGTTGTGAGAAAAACAATTTTTTTTAGTTTACGTGGAATTTTGTGAAATTGTTTTAAATTTATTTGTTTTTGAACGAAAGAATAAGAACAATTTAAATAAAAATATTACTCACGTGTACTAATTAACAATATTAACAAAATGATTGAAGTAACAGATGTACAAAGTATGTAATGTGGCTAAATGGTACATGCAAAAACATGAACCACAAACAATTTTCATGAATGATTGTTTTTTCTTATAAAATTCGTGAAATTTTCGTGAATATTTTTGTGTGTTATTTTTCTTCCTTTTTAGAAATCGGTATTGGTCTATCGGGAATGGGTATAGCATTCCTATTCTTGGGTGTACTATTTTTATTCGATAAAGGCCTGTTGGCCATTGGAAATGTAAGTTGTTGCTGTTGTATAAAAACATTGGCCTCTTTCAATAATAATGAATGATGTTGCTGCTTTGGGGGTCACCCCAAATGTCACTTCCTTATATATTTTTTTCTTTCAGATTTTGTTCTTATCTGGTTTGGGCTGTGTTATCGGCTTAGAACGCACATTTAGATTTTTCTTTCAACGACATAAAATAAAGGGTTCCATAGCATTTTTTGGCGGCATTTTTGTTGTTCTATTGGGTTTTCCTATCATTGGTATGGCCATCGAATCATATGGATTCTTTGCATTATTTAGGTAAGTTTTTCGTTTTTTTTTTAATTTTTGGTACTTATATTTTGTAAAATTGTTTGTTTTAGTGGTTTCTTCCCCGTGGCCATTAGTTTTCTCAGCCGGATTCCAATTCTGGGTTCGCTGTTTAATACACCGTTCATGCAAAAGGTATGTAGATGTGTTTTATTATTATTATTTTTGAACGAACTAGCGTTGTTAAAGAGTGTTAACGTTGAGATTATGGCTGTGTAATTTCTAATTTATAATATTACCCTGGAAATATATATTAATTACAATTAAGGTTGCGCTAGAATATTCCCAAAGGTCCATTGATATTTTAGATGAATATATAGTTATTGATTATAGACAGACGTACACAGTGCCTTGGGGTAATTTTCTATAATAATCTGCTGGACTTCTATGTAATGTCTTCTAGAAGAAGACTTTCTATATGAGTACCTGCTGGACTTCTATGTAATGTCTTCTAGAAAAAGGCTTTCTATATAATACCTCCTGGTCTTCTATAATTATATCACAAAAATGTCTTTTGTTGCTGGTTTTCTCTATTAAGACATTCTAAAATATTATAATTTTGATCTTTCGACATTTGTCTATTTTAAGAATTTTTGACCGAGTGAGATCCACTATTGTGAGAGGTAATCTTGTATTAGAATTATATGGATTTTTGTAATATGTCTTCTAGAATAAGGCAGACATCAAGGGTTTCTATAAAAGATCTCCTTATAAATATAAAATAAATGTCTTTGAAATGTTGTCTCCTAAAATAACCTTCTAGCTTTCACTATGAAGAAATTCTAATCTTCTATAAGGATACTTCTTGCTCTTCTAAAAGAAGTCATTCTGGTCTTCTATAAGTAACTCTTTTTGGTAGTCAATAAGAAGACATTTTGGCCGATTATAAAAAAGTTTTAGGCAGACTTATAGATCACTTATTGGAAGATTTTTAGGCTGAATACCTTTTTTCTATAAGAAGACTTTTGGATCTTCTATCTTCTGATATTTTGTAAAAGGACAAGAAGACAATGGTCACCTATATGGAAGACATTCTGCTCACCCATAAAAATAAAAATCTGATAGCTATAAGAAGACCTTTTTTGTATATTATATGAAGACAATTTGGTCACCTGTACGAAGATCCTGATCTGCAAGAAAATCTTTGATCTTCCATATAAAGACTTTATGGTCTTCCATATGAAAATCCATATAAAGGACTTTTGGTATTGCATATAAGAAATTTTAGTAATGGAAAATGAAGCTAGAGAACCTGAAAATTTCTTAAAATGAAACTGAAGTGTTAAATTTTTCAATGGCAAAAAAACCTAGGAGTAGTAGCAATTTATGTGCAAAATTTCAAAGCTCACCGGACATGACTAAATCGACACCGAATATTATGGTGAAATGTAAAAGGTTAGGATTATTTTTTAACCAAATAATTTAGTTTGGTTGTGGAAATGTCAAAATCTTGATATATGAACCCCTAGGTTCCGTAGATACCCTTATATTTTCTCATTAAAATGTTACTACAGTTGAAATCGTTTTACCGACGGTATTCAAAACAAGTTATTTCTTTGGGATGCAATTGCGTAAATTGTGTCTGAAATTACCTTAATAAAGATTTGCAAATCCCTGCTCTCCAAAAAATAATTTTAATTCCATTTTTCTACGCCGTATTATCTTTACCATAATTCTACAGAAATATGAACATTCCCAACATTTTGTTTTTTTATGATTTACACATTTCCAATAGGACCTTTTTTGCTAACGTTATAACAAAAATCCGATATGACAAATTATAATTCCATTTTCCAGAATATTCCCGAACATCATTTTATGTATAGGTTTACATTTAGTTTTCCATTGAACTAGTTTATTATTGGTTGTTTGGGTTGGGTTTCACTCCATATTTCACTTAACATCGATTTGTATATTTTTTGTTTTAGTTTAGAAATTACAAAATAAGAAGAACGGCTAAAATGGAATCATAGCTAAACAAAGCTCCTGGCCGCACTTAATGATTCTTGTTCCATTCTTCACGTTCTTCGCGCTCCTTGATGACTTCCTGCAAATAGGGTTCCAAGTATTTGACATCATCTTCGTATTTGGTCCATTGATCCTTGGGCAAAATAGTCTTGGTCATGGACAAGTGCAAAGCGCGCATAATGCGGTAGTTACGTTCATCGTACACTTTACGGGGCAGACGACGGATTGCCTCCTTGACATCTTCGTTTTCGTACAAACAATCGTCACGGTGTAGACCTATAAAATGAACGTAAGAAACAGAAATTGAGGTTAGTTTTTTTTTCTTTTCAAACAGCCTCAGCGAAAAACAAATACGGTTTGGACATTGTTCTTAATAGGAATTCCGCAGTGTATAAAAATATCAGTACATACCATATTGATTGAATCCAGACAAGTTGTATGCCCATTTACCCAAGCTGGCTGTAGAAATGGAAAATAATACATTTTATTTCATTGTTTACGTAACATGTACGGACTCTTTTTTGTTTAGATTTCCACAAGTGATTGAAAAAAATACACACGGTATTTTATTTTGTAGAACACTTACAGAAAACCATGGGACCGCGTCTTGCTACATAGCCAGCCATTGTTTTTTTATTTCGTTAATTTCTAATAAAACTTGAAAATTTCTTGACAAGTTGCTTTCGTTCAGCTGTGTTTCAGAAATTCTGAGAAAAAATTATTTCCCCAAGTCTGGTGAAATGTCAAAATGACAGCCACAGCTCTCTCTCTCTCTCTTGAATTGTAATAGATTAGTCATATATACACTCTGTATGACACATGGTTGTATTTGTAAATGATAGCATGTACCTATCATTGATAACATGTATTTGTGATTGATAGCACATTTAGAATAGTATCATTAGTGAAATACTATTACTATTGTTATCTAAATGTGATAAAACTTAAAATTTTGAAAACGAAAATGTCGATTAATAGTCAGATCATTTGTATTGTATTGGTACAAATTAATGAAACATCGAGTAGGTAAGACTATAGACTAGGTTGGACAATCTGTGATATATAACAAAAAATCAACTATGTAGGTAGTGGCTTCTTCTGCCAAATACAAAAAATAAGTATACGCAACAGGTGTTTTTCAAAACATAACTGAAAACACGAAAAAATTATTAAATGTTATGATTTCTTCCCATACTCATACTCAGATTCTGAACATCAATTCATCGTAAATTTATTCGCACTTGCCTTTAAAGTTATTCTGAACAACAATTCGCAGCGATATGAGTATGACGCTGAGCAAAAATGAATAAAATCTATTCTAGAGGCAAGCCGTTAGATGCGAACGTGAGCCGTCGGGATTTCCCGTTGCCAATAAGAAACACGGTAAACGACTGTCGCTGACTCTAGACACTCTGGTTGTGTTCAGAATCTAAGACTGATAAGTCTTTGTAAGCAACTCTGCTGAGTCCGTAGAAGTGTGAGGTTTAAAAAGTGACAAGGGGGAAGAAATTCAAACGAGAATCGTAGAGAGCAGAAGCAGAGTTGCTTAAAAAAAGTTGCATGTATAAACTCAGACTAAAATATTTTTTAAAAACTACATTTTTAAATACGCGAATATTTTTTAAGCAAATTTTTCAAGTCTTTATATAGGCGTAAATTCTCTAAAAAGTCACCATATAAGCGTGGCTTTTTAAGATATTTTGTCACCAGTTCATAGAGGCGGGGATTCTTTAAAAATATTTTTGAAGACTTATTATAGGCGGGGACTAGTTAAAAATATTTTTCAAGTCTTCAAATAGGGGTGGATTATTTAAAAATTATATTTTTTACCAAAATATAAATTACTATTTTTTATATTTCTTTTTTATTTATTTTTATTTTTCAGCTTGTGCAAAAACTTGGCGGTGATGCTGGCCGAACGAGGGTATAGTTTTAAAATACTATTTCTATTTCTTTGTAATTATATAATGTCTTAAGTAAATGCAAACAAAAAGATGATTTAGTATAATTTTATTTTAAATGCCCCCACAAAAAAACACCCCACACTTACTAAGACCTCAAAACAACAACAAAAGAACAAAATCTATTACTCCATGTAATCCATTTTGTTTTCATAAGCAATCCATACATAGATTTTATAACGAGATAAATCCTGATTATGTGTAAGTTGAAAATAAAAAAATACTATTTTTTTTTTTTTGTACAAAAAAAAAAAAAAAAAAAAAATAAATAAATAAAAATAATAAAATAAGTAGTGTCGTCTGTATGTGTTGTCTGTAAAAAATATATGTGTGTATAACAAATATCTTAAATTTTTTCCTTATTAATATGTTCGTAATTAAGTTGCATTTTGTGGAGAATTGTAATGATTTTTTTAATATAAACAATTTCGATATATAAAATTAAGTCATTTTTTATTTTTGTTTGTTTGTTTTTTTTAACAAAATATAACTTTGTCTTACAAAAACAAGAATGTTTATTTTGTTTGCATACTAACAAGTGATGCTGTTGTTGTTCTTCTTCTTGTTTTTAAAATGTACCCGTTAATATTTTTTGGCATACTGTTTTAATGGAATTATTTTCATTTGCAACTAACTCTTGCAGGACACCACTATGACAGGATAGAACACGACCCAGGGAAGACGAATTAACCTTCAACTTGAATACGCACATTTTCATTTCTGTATCCTGTTGTAGCAGCGGTGATGGAGTATGTTCTACATATTCCAATTGCAAGGAATCTAAAACGAAAAAAAACACACACACACATACATAAATCATATAAAAATTAATATTCGAAGCAATTCTTGAAATTATTACCACTGTCATAAAAACGACCAACACTCCAATTAAATAACATTTCCATGGGAAATTCCAATATTTGTCGACGTATCATTTTTAAAATATAGCTAACAAAACCAATGCCAAGACGCAGCTGCAAAAAATGAAAATTATTTTTTTTTTTTATTTTTGAATTTATTTTTATTTTTTGTTATAAAACACTTACCGTTGTAAAGACAACATAATAGGTAAGTATGGTTGGAAAAAGAAACAATAAACAGGCAAAGAAGACGGTACCCAAATATAACTGGCGATTCATATAACTATGGGACTCCACACGATCTGGAAATATGAGATTTTATTTTATTATAGTAAATAATATAGGAATTAGTGAACGTGAACTTACTTTTCAATACATTTTTACGTTTGCCCAAAAACATTTTCCAAAGAACTTGTAGACCTTTTATTTCCACTTTATATAATCTGCAAAAAAATTAAAAAAAAAACCATAAAAATTTATTTTTTTTAATATTCGAAAAAATTCCAAATCGACGTGAAATTATAAAAAAAAAAATATTTTTTTGATTCGTTGATATATTAAAATTAATAATTTATGCCTGAAATTTTATAGTATATAAATTTTTATAATTTTTTTTCAATTTATTTCAACTAAAAAAAAAATTAGAATATTTTTCACGACTTTATATAGGGTTTGATTTAAAAAAAATCCAAACGGCTTTTATTTTTCTGAAAATATTTTTCTAAATCGCATTTCTTGAAATTATTACCACTGTCATAAAAATATGTTTTTAGTTTTTGGATTTTTGATAAAAGTTTTTTAATTCGCCATATTTTTTCTTGTCCCAGTAATGGATACTTTAAAAATATATTTTTTTAATTTTTTAAAATTTTCAGTTTACAAAAAAAAATTACTATACCACATTTGCATCGCTTCCTCTATATATTATTTTCTAAATGTATTTTCTTCAGGACAAAAATAGATGTGTTTTTTTTAAAATATTTTTTTATAATTTCCACAATTGAATTTTTTAAAAATAGATGTAGCTTTTTATTGTAATATTCTTTTCAAATTCCGTGTAGTAGTGGATTTATCCAAAAAATATTTTTGTCGAGTTCCGATTTTTTAAGAAACATATATGAATTACTATGAATATTAAAAAACAAAATACTTACACTGCAGCATAAATGCTAAAACAATGAGCATGTAAACCAATAACTGATATAATATCGCTTAACAATGCCAGCTGGTAGGACAAGCCCATGGAACCCAAAAATGTTATGGGCACAAATAATTGTCGAATGCATGGTTCAATAGCATCTATAAAAAAAATTAAAATGAATATTTCCAATTACAAAATTGTATATTGGAAGAACAAAAATTGATTCACTTAAAAATGTATCCCACAATTCGACATGATAGCCAAAACATTCCAAAAGGAAATTATTCAATTGCACATTCAGTTTCAGACCAATCGGAGAGCCTTTTAATGAGTGCAATAGTAAACGGAATTTGTTTACAATAAACTGAAAAAAAAAAACAAAAATAATTAATTCAAATAATTATATTATTTGTTAATGATCATAACTTACATGAGCAGACTTGATTAGATAATTACCAGGATTATCAATATATAAAATTAGTATTATCATAACACAGAGACCCAAGAAGGTATCAAAGGCAATGTTGAAACGTCGCTTTCTGTAATCAGAAAAATTAATCAATTAAAAGTATAGCTATAAAAACATTGCAGCAAGTGGATAACCACCTTACCTACAACTTCGAAATTTCATCCATTCCTTATAGTGTTCATATAGAACGGTGTGTTGAAAAATATACTTAAATGGTGGCTGATAGAGGAATATTGTTAACAGCCACATCATAAAATTGAAAATCAATTCAAACACTCGGAAAATGCAACGTTTGACATCGTAGGCAAAAAAGTCTTCAGCATGGTCACCATCTTCTGCACCAGCCACATGAACAAAGGTGTTATCCTTGACATGTAGCAACTGATATAAATAATGTAAATCATCATCATCTTCGGTGCTGCTATCATCATTAGATTCCTTTCGCCCTTGGACATCGATGGATTCCTTTAAATCTTGTAGTTTAAGTATACGTCCCTCCTCATAGAGGAAAACATTTATTTTACCCGTCGTTTCTGGTTTAATGCTCAGCTTATTTAGATATATATAGGGCGTCTCATCATCGTAGACAAAGGATAATGCCACATCCTGATTTCGTTGGAATGTTATGGCCTCCTTGGCATTTACTATGTGACCCAAATGTCGAAATCTTTGGTAAATTTGCAAGCGATTATTTTCACTGATTTCATTGTCTTCATCATCCACACTACCCCTCCTTTTATCATTTATGGCACAGACAATGTAATACGATATACAATTGTTGTCGCCAATTTTATTTTCACCATAAATATTGCAGTTTTCTTTGGTGTAAAAAAGTTCCAGCGGTAGAAATATTTTAATGCTCATGTTTAGCCTTGAATGCTGAATGAACCAACCTAATTTAAAAACGTTCCATTTGCATTGAACAGAGGGACAAGAAAAAAAAAATGATGGTTTGTAATTAACGAAGTCAAAACAACGTTTTTAGGTGATGCATAGCGTCGATATCTTTGTTTTGTTTAGAACGGCTCATAAAGGAATGAAATCAACTGGAAACGCAAATTGTGCGGTCGGAACAATTTTATCGTCATGCTACCCCCTATAAAATGATATTTGATAACAATACATTTGGCCTGTTCCCGTACTGCAATAATCTACTAATTTTTACTACGATAACGAATTTTCCTTTATGATATCGAAGAAAATAGTAAAATCTAGTAGGTTCTTGCAGTACGGGAACAGACCAATTGTTCAATACAAGTATTCACTAAAATGAACTTAATCATCGTCACAGCAGTTCATTTCCAAAATGATTTACTAGTTCATAACGGAAAACAAATCATTTAGCTTGCAGATAATCACAATTATTATTTCGTTTAGTTAACTTTGTTTTATCACAGTAATTTCTTGCAATTTTAACGTAAACATGAGCCTATATTTTTTATAAAAAAAATGCAAAAAAATTTGCAATTGAAAATGTGTACGCCACCTAATGGTGTGTAAACAATCATATCGATAGCAAAACTACCAATTGATATGACACCATAAAAAGTTATCGATTGTATCCATCGATTGCTTACCAGCACTAACAATTTTATTACCAAAAAAAAATTTGTTTCACTTTACTAAAAACCTAAAATTATTATTTTTTAACAATTTCAATTAAGAGTCCTTGTCTCTGGCAGCGAAATTAAATACAAAACAAATTTAACCACAACAATAGCATGTCTTTATCAAGTCTTTTACCCACGCCCACAAATGCTGTGTGGGACCGTGAGGATGAAAGACGCGTGGCTGCCAAAGGTGCGCCACAAATTGGTGCCTTGGTATCGGCAAAGATAGCAGCACCTCCCTATGGCCAGCGCAAAGATTGGATACCACGCACCGAGGCGGATTTTGGTGATGGTGGAGCATTCCCGGAAATTCATGTTGCCCAATATCCGCTTGGTATGGGCGCTCCCGCCAATTTGGGCAAGAAGTCGAATGCATTGGCTGTACGCCTGGATGAGAAGGGAAAAATTAAATATGACGCCATTGCCAGACAGGGACATGGTAAAGACAAAATTGTCTACTCTTCAATATCACAGCTGTTGCCAGCTGAAGTTTTGTCTGAGGATGCCGAAGAATTACAGCGTCCGGATGCTGAAACAATTGCCGAGACAACCGAAGCCACTCGGAAAGCTTTGGAAAAGTTGACAAACCAGAAAATTGCCGCTGCTATGCCTGTACGCCACGCGGAAAAATCAGCTCCAGCACAATACATACGTTATACGCCATCCCAGCAGGGTGATGCATTCAATTCCGGAGCGAAACAAAGAATTATTCGTATGGTGGAAGCTCAAGTCGATCCTATGGAACCACCTAAATTTCGTATCAATAAAAAAATTCCACGCGGCCCACCATCACCACCGGCCCCTGTACTCCATTCACCCTCACGCAAGGTGACCGTAAAGGAACAAAAAGAATGGAAAATACCGCCCTGTATATCGAATTGGAAAAATGCCAAAGGTTATACTATACCACTTGACAAACGTTTGGCAGCCGATGGCAGGGGTCTTCAGCAGGTCCACATTAATGAAAAATTCGCCAAAATGTCCGAAGCTTTGTATATAGCCGATCGCAAAGCTCGAGAAGCTGTCGAGGCACGTGCCCAATTGGAAAAGAAATTGGCCCAAAAGGAAAAAGAAAAGAAAGAGGATATGTTGCGTATGATGGCCCAAAGGGCTCGTGAAGAACGTGCCGGCCTGCGAAATCCCACAGATGATGCGGCTGGTTCAAGTGCTGAGGCCAAAGAACGCAATGAATTACGCGCCGAACGTCATCGTGAAAGGCAACGGGATCGCAACTTGGCCAGAGCTGCTCCCGACAAGCGTTCCAAATTACAAAAGGAACGTGAACGTGACATATCTGAACAAATTGCCCTGGGTATGCCCGCCAAGACGGCCAGTAATGGCGAAGCTCTGTTCGATCAACGTCTTTTCAATACCACCAAGGGTATGGATTCCGGCTATGGGGATGATGAAGCCTATAATGTTTACGATAAACCATGGCGTGATGCAAATTCCATGGGTTCACATCTATACAGACCAAGCAAACAAATTGACAATGACACATATGGTGCCGACTTGGATCGTATTGTCAATACACAACGTTTTGTCCCCGACAAGGAATTCTCTGGAACATCACGTGGAGCTGCTGGTGGTGCTCCCGCACGTAGTGGTCCAGTGCAGTTTGAGAAAGAAGAAGATCCTTTCGGTTTGGATCAATTCTTGAATATGGCCAAGAAAGCTCCCAAAAGGGGAGAGGATAAGAATGATCGCAGTTCAGGCAGTAGTTCGGATAAGAAACGTCGAAAAGATTAAAGTGTTTTCTTATGATATAATAGGTATATTCCTAGTATTGAACTACGTTTAGTTTTACATAAGATGATGATAATTTGTAGCATATAATAGTTACAATAATAGATATCGGATGACTACATATATATATATTAAGTTGATATATACAAAATGCTAATGGTTTAAAAATGTTTGAATAAATAATTCATATATAAATAAACATATTTCAATAGTACCTTGAAATGATGGTGTATTTTTTCATATTCATATATTTTTTTGCAGTCTGTTCTAGAGTCCTCAAAAAAATATTCTTTAATAAGTCCATGCCTCTGTATAGGTCCTCAAAAAAATATTCTTTAAAAAATCCACTCCTTGTTTGGGTGACTACAAAAAATATTCTTTAAAAAATCCACGCCTTGTATAGGTCCTGTAAAAAATCCACGCCTTGTATAGGTCCTCAAAAAAATATTCTTTAAAAAATCCACGCCTTGTATAGGTCCTCAAAAAAATATTCTTTAAAAAATCCACGCCTTGTATAGGTCCTCAAAAAAATATTCTTTAAAAAATCCACGCCTTGTATAGGTCCTCAAAAAAATATTCTTTAAAAAATCCACGCCTTGTATAGGTCCTCAAAAAAATATTCTTTAAAAAATCCACGCCTTGTATAGGTCCTCAAAAAAATATTCTTTAAAAAATTCAAAAAAATATTCTTTAAAAAATCCACGCCTTGTATAGGTCCTCAAAAAAATATTCTTTAAAAAATCCACGCCTTGTATAGGTCCTCAAAAAAATATTCTTTAAAAAATCCACGCCTTGTATAGGTCCTCAAAAAAATATTCTTTAAAAAATCCACGCCTTGTATAGGTCCTCAAAAAAATATTCTTTAAAAAATCCACGCCTTGTATAGGTCCTCAAAAAAATATTCTTTAAAAAATCCACGCCTTGTATAGGTCCTCAAAAAAATATTCTTTAAAAAATCCACGCCTTGTATAGGTCCTCAAAAAAATATTCTTTAAAAAATCCACGCCTTGTATAGGTCCTCAAAAAAATATTCTTTAAAAAATCCACGCCTTGTATAGGTCCTCAAAAAATGTTCTTTAAAAATCCACGCCTTGTATAGGTCCTCAAAAAAATATTCTATAAAAAATCCACGCCTTGTATAGGTCCTCAAAAAAATATTCTTTAAAAAATCCACGCCTTGTATAGGTCCTCAAAAAAATATTCTTTAAAAAATCCACGCCTTGTATAGGTCCTCAAAAAAATATTCTTTAAAAAATCCACGCCTTGTATAGGTCCTCAAAAAAAAATCCACAACTTGTTTTTGTTTGAATATCCCAAAGAATTTTCCTACACCCCTACCTACACACGAAATAAATACAAGAAACACGAAATTATAATTTTAATCTTTATTATTATTATATTTCAGTATTAGACTTTTTAATCATTTGTTGTTTTTGCAATATATTTACTTATTTACATATGTGTGTAACTCTCTCTTCAATTTCAACTGTACTGTTTCTTCTTCTTGTTCCTTTTCTGTTTGAACCCAATCAACATTTATGGATTTTCTTTATATTTTTGTTGTTGGTTGGTTGGTTTCCCGGTGTATGTATGTATACATTCATTATGTTTCTCTGTATGAATATTTTTTTTTTTTTTTGTTCATTTATATTAATAATATATATTCATGATCGTAATAAAAAAAGTAAAAATCTCTTATTTCAAAAAGTTATGCACAAAAACAAAAAAAAAAAATAATAAAGGAAAGACAGAAATTTAAAAATATGTTGTGTTTTTTCTATAACTACAGACTTATTTGAAATTATGCATTTTTAATTTTGCGATAATTTGTATAAATTAAAAAAGAAACAATTTTGAAAAAAGGAAAAAAACATTTTTTTATTTCTTTATATAAAAGATTATTTTTTTAATAAGAATTTTTTTATAACAAAATATGAAATATATTATATAGACTTAATTTGAAATTAAAAACTATAATTAATTTTTTTAGAGTTTATTTTGCATTTTTCTTATTAAATTTTTCTCTTTTATTCTTCTTCTTCGGTTGATTAATTCAAATTAAATTTTTTATTCTTCTTATTCTCGGGGAAATTATTGTTGTTACAAAAAAAAGGAAAACAAAAATTGAATAGAGAAAATGTGTTGGTAATTATTGATGTATGCTGTTGTTGGCTTTCTTCTTCTTTTTTTTTTTTTTGTTTGTACGAAATGCAAAATTGCGAAATAAAAAACAAAGAAAATTAAAACAATTATAATTTTTCTTACAAAAATTAACAATTTCTAGGAAACTTGTATAGCAAAAAATAATAGAAACAATTGAATTCTATAAATATATATGTATATAAAGATATTATTATTAGTTTTTTTGTAATTCTCTCCCATAAATGAATTGAGTACGGAGAGAAAATGTGAAAAACAATCACACAAGACATCATCATATTTCGTACAAAATCTCGTATTTTTTTTTTACAACATACAACTTTGTTTTTTTTTCGTGTTTTGTTGTTGTTACTAAATAGGCGTTGTAGGCACGTTAAAGAAAATTCGGTGTAAAATATACGAGAATTTTACATTGACAACGGTATGTTTGGCCGGCCACATATTTATCTGTAGATATATTATAGACATGAAGAAAAGAATTCACCATAATCGTGTTCGGAGAAGAAAATTATGATGTTGGGTGGTTGTTGTAATTGATTTGCTGTAGCATAAGAGTTTAATATAACTCATATTTTTCTTGTTTGTTGTTGTTGTAATTTTTATAGTAATTATGCTATAATAAGATACGCTTAAAATAAATCGTTAATAGTTTCAAGTCTGTTGTTGAGTGTGTGGTGTTTATGTTGTGTTTAGTTTAGTAAAGTCTGTTGTTGTAAGAGGAGTTTGTTTTGTTGTTGTTCTTGTTTATAGAGTTTGGATGCAACATGACGTTGTTGTCGCCAGCAACTTTCAAGCCACAATGAATTTATGAAATGTAAAAAAAAAACAAAAATATAAATTAATTTATTTCATTATTTGTTATTTTGCTAACCATACGAATTTTCCGTATTGCTGAGCAGAAGGAGGATGAACTGAAAAGGCGTTAGAATTTGGGGGGCAAATATTGTTGATTACTACTGCAGCTGTTGAGGCTTTTGAAAACTAAAAATGTTTTTGTTTGCAATCTTGTTTTGTAAAAACGAGATTTTTATGACGTCGTTTTTTAACCAAATGATTTATTTTACTATAAGTTAGAATATTTCTGCTTCTTCTTTCTATTTTTAAATTAGAAATTCTCCCTAGTCCTCCTCCTGCTGTTGCCGTTCCCAGTCCTCCTCCTCCTGTCATGGTTGTTAGATTTTGTTGTGGTTTTTGTACTGCGGTTGCTTGTTGTTGTATTTTTGGGTTAATTGTTGTTGTTGTTGTTACTGTTTGGCGTATTAATTTATACTTATTTAATATAACTGTAGATGAGTTTTGTTGCTGTTTCTGATAATTATAACTATTTACAATGGTAGCGGCGGTGGCGTTGGCGGTGGCGCTGACGGCGTCACATTCTGCATCAGCTGATGTTGAGCGCCGTTTAAATTGCATGTTTTTGTTGCTGGCAACATTTGTAATGATGTATCTACTCTTTTGTTGTTGTTGTTGTGGTTGCAGTTGTTTACAGTCATCAAATGTCTGTGTTGTTGTTGTGTTAATAATGTTATTGTCCTTGTTGTCGTCTCTGTTGCTGTTACTGTCATTGTCTTCTAGTATCTGTTGTAGTTGTTTTTGTTTAATGTCTTGTTCTTCTTCTATATTTCTAAGATTAAGTTGCATTCTTGTTGAGCACAGTCCTCCTCCTCCTCTGTGTTTATGTTTTTGTTGTTGTTGCTGCTGCTGTATTTGGTCCACGCTACTACTAGGAGCGTCCGATTTTATGGAAATTTCTACCGTTGTGTTACACGACGTATGGGGGCACGTATCTTCCGTTTGGCCTGTTGTGCTGATTGGGCTCCTGGTGTTGGTGTGGGCCTACATACATATATAAAGACAAATTTTGTCGCATGTTAATTTTTTTTTTGTAAATTTTAAGGTGGTTGGGGACGGAGATTCATTGTAGGAAAGGAAACTTGTGCATCAATCCATATTTTGATTAAAATCACTTCCATGGGTTGGTGGGTTAATATTTTTAATACATTTTCATTTCCCCAGAAAATCAACGCAAGTCACATTTGTGTTAATTGTTGCAGTTAGTAAAAAACGAACGAAACACATGGACAAATTATATTAAACAAAATAGTTGTACAAATATTAAAATTTAAAAAAGGTCTGTTTTACTTTTTAAAACAGAACTTTTCAAATTAACAAAATGGGAAAATAAAAAACCCCATTCAAATCTACACCTTTTTCATATGTTATTCAAGACATTTCAATTGCAATTCGAGAATTTCATTAGTAATTCAAAACATATAATTTTGCAATTCTCGAATTACATTTGATATGTTTTTCGAACAACCTGGAGAAAATGTGTAGTAATTTGTTTTTATCAAAATCAAGACCCACTTCTGCTGATTGATATGTTGTTTCCTTTACTTCATTTTTCTATTTCGAACCATTTGAAAAATCAACAGTCCAATTTCCATTATTATCTCTATTCAAAAAACGGACAATAATTTTCACAAAAAATGGTTCGTTAAGAATTTATTGCCAAATTATTTTATGGTATGTGGTGGGTTGTACTTACGCAAATATGTTACTAGAAACAGGCGCGGTGCCTGCATTAAATTGGAAAGGTGCACTCGGCGTTGTCTGTAATACAAAAACAAAAAAAAAGAAAACAAAATTTTGATGTGTTAGTTAGTATAGCCAAAAATTGAATACTTCAAGAAAATCAGTAACATATTTAATTGAATATGAGGTGAGGTGTGTGAAGTGGGTGAATGGAAAAAGAAACTACACCTTTTTATAGAATTAAAACGTTTTTTAGTAAGTTTTCTTTGTATTGATATTGAATTAAAAATAAATACATGAATAAATGGGCACAATCATTGAAAATGTCATATAAGGAGAATGCTCTAATTTAAAAACGGTGATTTCGAGGAAAAATCAAAAAAAATAAAACAGGGTATATTAAAAATGTATTGTCACATCCTGAATTGGGTCATCAGTTAATTTTGAACCCAAACGCAACTAACCTGAAAACTATCTCCCTTAAACAAGTCATAAGTATTTATCATTTATCGTTGCCGACTGATATATAACCTCCTTTAAGGGGACCTCCCACATTCTCGATTTTCAAATTTTAAAGATTTTCATTGGGCTGGTATATGAATACCAATGCATGTTAAGGTTTGTAACTTTACACATATATAATTGAAGATTTGAAAGAGAAGAAAAATAAGACGATAGCGCCTGAAGTCCTGGCAGATGTGGCGCGCAGGTGGATCTGCCATCACTGGGTGATGACACGGCAGATAGCATGGACACCGCCGGTTGCAATTCGGAGTGCATTATTTTGAGTTGTTTGCAAGGATCTCCATCTTTTATTGTTTTTTTTTTTTGTGATTAAAGAAAGGTAGTCCTTATTTTTGATGGCGGGTCCAAGGGGGTTAGAAACAGTACATGTATGGCTCTCGTATGAACTAGGATTATTGACATCGCTCAAAAATTAACAAAATGGCGGACGTTTGAAACAAATTTTGTGGAAATTCGCCTATTTTTGAGCACAAACTAATTTAAAAAACAAGGAAGTTTTTCACCGATTGACTTTATCTTACTTCATACGATAGCTATACACTTCCAGAGAAACGGGACAAAATATGGAACCGATTGGATTATTAGTTTTTGCCGTCACTTGATGCTGACACAATAAATCGGCTATATCTTCAAGAGTTCTTGAGATTTCCACTTGAAACTTTGTAGGGACATTCTTGCATTTGTATAGATTCGAATTAAATCAAAAAACTATATTAAATTTTTTGACGCCGAGAATGATTCAGGATGCAAGGAATATTATCGACAAGAGTACGCAACAACCCCCATCATTGACTTTCTGCCTCACGTTGTCGGTCAGACCAATAAGCAGCGATATTGTGCTACGATGACACCGGAATCCATACTGGCTTTCATGTAAAAGATAGGACTCATCCAAGCATGTAATAATTTGCCTCTTCATTAAATGTTACACCAACATTGACAGAATAGGCATTACAGAAATTGGTCTCAGATCATTAGAACCATTACTCTTTGAAATCGGTACAACTCTTGCTATGTTCCATTCCAACAGCATGGACAACATAACCACAAATATAAGGAAATACTAGTCTTAAAAATTTCAATTGAAATCCGTCACAACCAACGGCATTTGACTTAATTAACTGGAAAGCTTCCATAACCTCCTCACCACAAACAGACCGGAAACTGAACCCTTCCATAACACCTTCAGGTACATGTGGCATACGCATATTATCATGGGACTGATTACGTACAAAATTACAATTAAGACTCTCAACATCATCACTATCTACTACATCCTTAGTATCATAAGAAACTCATTCGCTTTTAACACTGACCAAACTTGCTTCGAAGTATTACTGAAAAAAAGGTCTTTATGAGCCAGTCTCTTAAATTTCCTCGCAACATGTTTTGCTTTATTACGTAATCTCCAGAATATTTTCCAACTTTCTTCACTTCTTTCACTCAAATATACTTTATATGCAAGATCTCTTACTGATAAACTACACCGAATCTCACGAGATTTGTACCAGTCATCGCTTTTTATTCTGACAATATTTTTTCTAACTGGAAAAGCGGAATTAATGAAATGAAGAAGATATTTTAAATATGAATAGATTTTTTTCTGATCAGGAATATAAATATGTACGTAGTAGGGTCTCGTGCGAATGTTTCTTAATATTGCAAAAGGAATAACAAATTAAATTAAAAAACACTCCACTTTATAGTGGAGGGGAGGATGAAATCATTACATATGATTTTTATGTTATGTATACTGATTGTTGTACTAAATTAAAAAATTAATACAAAACTCATTCAATTTAGGTAAATTTTAAGACTACATTGGGAACAGCCAAACTAAAGAAAATTAATAACAAAAACAATAAAAAAACAATTATAGAAATATATTATGCACACATGCACATACATACTGAACAAAAATATGATATGATACTATATAGGTATGTTGTATAAATAATTATAATTTAGAATTTACAAACTAAAAACTACATTACCTCTAATGCACCAGCAGTACCGCTGCCAAAACTAAAAACTGGTGCTGATGGTGTTGCGCCGAATTGGAAAGGTTTCGTTGAATTCAATGACTGCAGCATTGTTTCGTTTTGGGTTTTAGTTTTTTAATCGTTTTCGACAGTGGCCAAAGTGCATATTACGTTACACATATATATAAATACACATACATACACACACGCACGCACAGACATACATGTAGTCATAACACACAAGAAAAATCACAGACATGATGATGATCATCATCATCATTAGATGGTGGTGATGATCGATCATTTATTCGTGTGTTAAGATTTTCAGAACAACAACAAAATGACATTTTGTCGTTGATGTTGACAAACGGTGACATGTACATACATATATATTCCACAGGTTGTTAATTAATTTACGTCGCAAAATAGACGATTCAAATTTTATAGTTTTTTTAATTTTCCCAAAACAACACAGTAGTTTAATTTTGGAGCAAGAGAGATACGCACAAAAAAAAGAAGAGGGGAGGGGGAAAAAGAGAAGAGAAATTTAAATAGAATTTAGTTTTTCAATCACTACAACTACTAATTGTAATATAGTTTTAATATAATAAATAATATTTAAAAAATTAAAAAGAAATATGAATACACTTTAAGGTCTCAAACATACATACCTCTGCTGATCCAGTAAAGTTAAATGTAGGTGTGGCTGTAGTGCCACCAAAATTGAAAGCTGGTTTTGTTGTGTTGGCTCCAAAATTGAATCCTCCCTAGAAAAAGGAAAAACAAAAATAGAAAAATTGTTATTGGGGCATATCATCAGATCGTTTTTTTAATAACATTTCCTAAATTAATGCTACGTACACTTGTACTCTGTTGCTGCGTTGATTGTTGTTGTTGCGGTGCAGCAGACTGTGCTGAAAAATTGAAAGCTGGTTCGGGCTTTTTAATTTCTGTTGTATTCGCTGCTGCTCCAAAACCACCAAATGTTGCTGAACCCGTAACGGCGGTACTGCCAAATGTTGGTGTGGCACTTGTCGATGATGCCGAACCGCCAAACGGTGATGAACCAAAAGCCGGTGCTGGTGTTGCTGCACTACCGCTAGGATTTGCACCGAATAGGTTTGTTGTAGCAGGTGCGGGTGCGGAATTTACAGCAAACAGATTAGTGCTGGTGTTATTTGTTGCTGCTGTCGTACCAGCTCCAAACACAGGCGGATTATTTGGCGGCGAAGTATTTGCTGCTCCAAATAACGATGTGGTTTGTTGTTGTTGTTGATTGGTGTTACTACTGGCTGCTGCATTGCCAAATGTCCCAAAAACTGAGGTTGTTTGTTTAGCAGCATCTGTGGTATTGGCACTGGTGGCGGCAGGTGTTGCGGCTGCCGATGATGATGATCCAAAAACAAAACTTGTTTTAGGCCAGGCGGTACCTGAGGCAGCAGCACCAGGTGTATTATTACTGGAGGCAGAGTTATTTGTTTCTGTTGATGCGGCAGCTGGGGTTGATCCAAATACAAATGGTTTGGCTGTAGTTTGCCCACTTGGATTTGTAGCTCCTGCTGCTGCTGCACTGCCAAATACGGGCATTGCGGGCTTATTGCCACCAAACGAACCAAAAACATTTGATGTTGTTGTTTGTTGGGTGGCGGCGGCGGTGGCAGAAGAATTGCCACTGCCAAAAGAGCCAAATGTTGGTGTATTTGTGGTAGTGGAGGAACTAACCGTTGTTGAATTATTGGCAGGATTTGCTGCTGCTGGCAAGGAACCAAATGTTGGTGTCGCGGAACCACCTGTATTTGCACCACCAAATGAACCGAAGACATTTGTTGTTGTGGCAGGTTTTGTACTTGAAGCTAATGTCAATGACGACGACGATGAGGATGACGTTGAAGAGGTTGCAGCTGAACCAAAAAGTGTCTTACCACCACCCAGAGGTATGGCAGCAGCAGCTGTTGTTGTTGTATTGCTGTTACTACCAAAACTGAAACCTCCAAAACCACCACTGGTGGTAGTGGATGAACCAAAACTAAACATGGGTTTAACGGCAGCCATTGCTGTTCCCGATGCTGTCGACGTTGTAGATGTGGCAATTGTTCCCGTGACAGGTTTGATTCCAGATGTTGATCCAAATACAAAACCAGCAGTGGGAGTGACGTTATTTGTTGTCGTTGTTGTGGTTGATGAAACAGCTGATATTGTTGATGATGCTGATGGTGCCTTAAAGGCAAATCCTTCAGAAGAGGCGGCGGCGGTTTTAGTTTCCACTTTTTCTTCCGGTTTCTTGCCAAAACTAAAACCGGAGGTAGTTGAGGAAGCTGCAGTGGAGGAACCAAAACTAAATGTTGGTGCCGGCATTGTCGTGGCAGCCAATGACGTGGAGGAGGTGCTGGTGTTAGCAGCAGCTGACGTTGCTGACGGAGCTGCACCGGCTGGTTGCAAATTAAATTTGACACTTGGTGAATTCACTGCCGCCGGGATGCTGGTCGCAGTAGATGTTGATGCTGTTGTTGTGGTTGTTGCTGCTTTAAGACCAAAAGAAAAACCCGTTGTTGCAAAAGTGCTGGTTGTTGTTGTTGCTGTTGTGGAAACATCGGATTTTTTGGTAGCGTCAGTGGTGGTGGGTGCTGCACCAAATTTGAAACCTGACACCGCTGCTGTTGTAGAACTTGAAGACGACACCGCTGCTGTGGTAGACGTGGTCAAAGTCTTTGCTGTATCTGTTTCATCTTTTTTACTTTCTTGACCAAAACCAAATGTTGGTTTAATTCCAAATTGAAAACCAGTGGTGGCTGTAGTTGTTGTGGGCAATGATAATGTGGATGTGGCTGCTGCTGAAGTAGCACTCGATTTATCATCCTTTCTCAGCTCCTCTTCCTTGGGAGCATTTGCATTTGGTCCAAAGCCAAAACTAAATTTGGCAGCAGCTGTGGCGCCAAATGTAAATTTAGTTGTGGCAGACGCGGCGGATGAGGAACTTTCGGTGCTTGTAGAACCTGGCTTAGGTTGATCACAGCAAGCACACTTTGTACGCTCGGCATCATTGCGTGTCATACAGGCATCACATTCCCATTTCGAGGCCCTTTGTTGGGCTGCGAGACTTTTGAAACCAGCGTCAGTGGAGGTGGCTGCAGGTGTTGTGGCTGTAGTCTGTTGGCCACCAGATGCGAAGCCAAATTTGAAGGAAGTTGTGGCTGCCGAAGTGCTGTTGGCAGCAGCAGCTGCAGCACCTGGTTTCTTTGTTTGACAGGCCACACATTCATTGGCATCACTTTTATTGCTGATCATGCAGGTCGAGCATTCCCAATTGCCTGACTTGGGTTTGAACGCATCGCCAAAGGTATTCTTAATTGATGGCATTGATGGAGGTGGCATAGATGAGGACGCTGGCGCTGCACCTTTTCGAGGAGTTTCACAGGCCACACATTTACTGCTCGATTCTTTGTTGCGTATCATACACATATCGCATTCCCATTCACTGGATGACTTCTTAAATTGTTGGCCAAAGGTGTTTGTTGTGCCTGTTGTTGTTGATCCTGATGAAAAATTAAATGTGGAAGTGCTGGCTGGGGCTGTGTTTGCCGCGCCCTTCTTTGGCGTTTCACAGGCCACACACTTAGTTGCTGCCGACTTGTTTCTTATCATACAGGTATCGCATTCCCATTCACTTGAGGACTTCTTAAATTGTTGTCCAAAGGAATTATTGGAATCGGTTAGCGGTTTTATTCCAGTCTCCGAAGTAGTAGTACTGGTACCAAATGGTTTACTTAATGCATCTAAACAGGAGCCGCTGCTTTTCAATTGAGGTTGTTGTGGTTGTTTCGCTTGTTGTTGCTGTATTGTTTTTGTGGTCTTAGGTGTCATATTTAGGGTGACATCTAGGGGAGGACTAAATTTATAATTATTAAGATTTGTTGGGGTTATATTTTGTGTGGGCGTGTTCAATCCCTTAACGACAAGGGGTTCCGAAAATTTGAAATTTGATTTTGCTGGGGATGATGATGACGAAGATGAGAAACCAAAACTATTACTGTTGCTGCCGCTGGCAAATATATTGGGTTTGATGTTCTCCTTTTTAGCAGCGGTACTTAAGGTCGCATCGCTTGTTGTCTTTGATGTAATAAATGCATTTTGAGTTGTGGTTGAGGTGGTGGTGGCATTTGCTTTCTTATCGAATTCTTTGCCACTGGTTGCCACCAATGAAGTGGCCGTTGAGGCCGTTGTTCCTTTTGAAAATGTTATATCAAATTTGGGCACAGATTGCATCAGGGGAAATGCTATATTGGGCAAATTAACCGAAGGTGGAGGAGCCTCATCCAACAAGTCCTTGGATGCAGCTGAGGCTCGGGCCGTAGCTGTTACCTTATTTTTAATTTTATTTGTATGTTTTTGTTGTTGCTGCTGTTGTGGCGCCTGCGATGGTTCAACTTCCCCGACCGCATGGGCGGCTTTGGGTACATTATTATTGCCAGTCGATGATGATGCTGCTGCTGCAGCAACAGGTAAAGAATATTCAGACGACTCCAAGTGATTGGAGCTTCTGGCAATATTCCTAGCCCTTTCGGTCGTATTTTGTAACTTTTTCATTTGCAACAGCTGGGACATTGTTGGCACCTGTAACTCTTTAACGGGAGGCATTAGACCACCGGAGGCCTTGGTGCAATTTGCATTACCCGATGGTTGTAAAATAACTGCCGGCCTTGAATAAGGGGTGCGTACTTGTGATAATCGCATTGCACGCGACATATTTAGATCACTTTCATTCAAACGTCCCTTGGCCTGTGGCGGCAATTGAACGGCGCCGCCACCACCAGCATTCGTTTTCATATTACCAGCCATTTTCTTTGCTTCGCTAAGCGGTGTAGCAAAATCACTTATCAAATCCAAGATTCTCTTAGCTGTCGATGACATTTCACCCATTTGCAGAGAGTTGCTGTTGGTGGCCAATGATGTGTTCGACGATGATAATGTCGAGGAGAGACTTGACGTTGGCCGAATAAGTGTCGGAGTGATGCGTACAGCACTGGCGCCTGCACCGGCCGTATATTTATTATAAGCGGCAGCACCGCCATATGTGGTCTTTCCCTTGTAGAATGGTGAAAATGTATTTAGCAAACGACTGTCACTCAATGCCGAGGTACTGCCATAAATTGAGGCATTAAATTGTCGGCGATTTAGGGACGTCAACGACAAAGTTGATGTATTCAATTGATTTGAAATTCCACTGGAACGGCCACCACCAATACCGCCTCCCTGACTGGCTGTGGTATTGAATAGAGATTTTCTACCTTCCAGATGAGAATAGAAATTCAGGCCATTGCCAAATGAAGAGGTGCGGCTGCTATTGCGGGTTGTACCGGCACCACTACCACCACCCGCCGTTCCGCCCAACATATTAAACAGTCCCGTTGTATGGCGATCCTTTGTCTTCATTTTGGACATTTCACCCACACCACTTTCACCGCTCTCCGAAGCACTATCCAAAAGGATAGCTTCATTTTCTTCGGGTATATCTGCGGGAGCCGACGAAGATCCATTAATGTGACGTTGTTTTTTCATTTTTTTATGCGGCAATTCACATGATGATGTCTCATTAAATTGACCATTATGTTTGAGTAAATTATTTTCACGTACATCATCATTATCATCGTTGACTCCTTCGTCGTCGTCATAATCGTCTTCATTTCCTCCCACCCTTTGCTCAGCTTGAACTTCATGTATGGTAGTTGATGTACGTCTGGGTGGTACACCAATTGGCGATGAGGATGATGTTTGATTATCGCCTGTTTTAATGCCGGCCAAAGATTTCCGTTTCATATGACTTGCAGCGGTGGCCATAATGCGTTCCACTCCCATTGAAGATGAAGCGGTGGATGATGAAGTCAGGGATGATGGTATATTTAAACTTCGACGGGAACTGTGAAATAAATAAAATATAATAAAATAAAATATAAATTAAATACATCAAAAAATTGTTATAAAAAATTTATTAACTTACCTTAGACCACCAACAGTAGAACGACCATAAACATTCGACTGACTAATGATTTTATCTTCATTTTCATTGGGTGGGTTAGATACTAATTCAATAATATCGGTGTTAATTTTTGGCTGATTAAAATTATAGGCTGGCTCTTTTTTACTTTGATTGGCATACAAATTCAAATGGGTAAAACGTTGATAGGATGAACGTGATACATTGCTGCCAACACCACCTGATCCTCCAGCCACACCAATAGAATTGCGAGAATATGAACTGCTAGTCACTGCGGGCGTAGATGATATCAATGGCCGTCGTGGTGCTATTAATGGGGTATCTCTTACCTAAAATTATATTGACAATTGTTATATACTTTTCTTCTTAAATGATATATATAGAGACACAATAGAGAACATACATCCACATTAAGACGACTCCTTTTAGCGGGTGGTTGTCGCTCATGTGTTGTTTTGGGTTGCACTGTTGCAGCAGTTGTTGTTGTTGTTGCCCTTCTTCTAGCAGCATATTCTTCTTCACTGTTTTGACTATCGTCATCCTCCTCCTCTTCTTCGCCCTCACCTTCATCATCTTCCGGCTCAGAGGGTTCATCATCATCTTGTTCATATTCATCTTCATCGAATTCAAAACGTCGCCTTCTTCGTGCCTTTGTGCCCGAGGATAATGATATACTACCATTTAACTCATCGTTACGCCCTTTGGTAGATGGTGAAAACCATTTTGATAGACGATTTGGTAGAATACTTGAAACACGAGATTTTACTTTTCCAATTATTGACTATAGCGAAAAAATGGAAAATGGGAAAGAATTAGTATTATTTTTTATATTAGTATATAAAAGATAGAAAAAGAACAAGAAAAACGTGAGCGTGAACAAATCGAGATGTCAGAATGATGTTCGGAAATTTTACCAACGAGTAAAACACCAAACCGACGGTTTTTGGTGCAGCCACATCCTCCTGTAGATAGATGGATTACCAGCCGAACTATTCAAGACCGGTGGTCAGATGCTGGCCAGGAGCATGCACCATCCGATTAGTACAATTTGGCCAGAGGAATGCATGTCCAATGATTGGAACGAACCTCAGCATCCTGTGATGGTATCAACGCGCAAGACGTTTAATAGACTCGGACCAACTGTGGAACTTGAAAACTACAACTTCGATGTAGTAAACGATTTTATATACCTCGGATATAAAATAACATCCGCTTTGAAATCCGGAGAAGGATAGTGATGGCCAACAGATACTACTATGGTTGAGTAAACAACTCAAAAGCAAGGCCACCTCCGGCCAGACCAAACTCACACTCTACAAGACGCTGATACTACCCGTGCTGTTATATGAATCTGAAGAATTAGTACTTGCGCAAGCAGATGAGGCAAGCTCTTGGAATTTCTGAGAGAAAAATTCTCCGGAAGATCTATGAGTCAATCTGCGCCGACGGTGAATATTGTCGTCGAATGAACCATGAGCTATACCATCTATTTTCAGACATCGACATAGTCAGATGGATCGAACTGCAGGGACTACGTTGAGTAGGTCATATTGTGAAAATCGATGAGGATTCCCTCACTCAAAAGGCATATAAACCGAAACCAAGTGATGGTTCAGACGGAAGGGAAAGCCACGGAGAATCCGATGGAAAGATCAAGTAGAAAACAACATCTAGGAAAATGGTCTTTCAAAATTGGGTGAGATGCGCATAAGACCGACGCTCTTGGAAATCTTTTTTAGGCTCAGCGGCTTATGGAACAACCGTTTTGTCATAAGCCACCTAAGTAAGCACTATCATAGCCACCAGCCAATTTTAGATGTGGTAAATATTTCAAAATTATCCGCGACCGGTGCTTATACTTAAGCCCAAATAATTTTGCATTTATTTTCTTCTTTCGAATTTTCGTTAGCATCTGTAAGGATATTTACACGATATTTTTACACAATACTATCGCCAACCGTGTCATAAATACAATAAGTATGGAAGGAAGGAACTCTCCGGTATATGTGTGTACAAGCACAAGAAGCCATTACATTTGTTAAGATCACCAAATAAATATAGATACATATTAGGGAACTTTATCCTCGTTAAGAGAAGGTTTCCATACAATTATTTCAATGCATCTTGAAATACTAAAATCAAAATCAATTTTATTAATCCAAATTTGTTATTATTGTTGTACAGTACTCACATTATCAGCTGCATTTGTAGGATCATCGGTACTAAGGTTGTGTGCTGATTCGCTGCCACCGCCGCCGCCAAACTGTTGTTGTTGTTGGAGTGGACTGTCATTGTCCAGACCACCATATTCCGACATCTTGATCTGTATCGAAGAACACTTTTGTCAATCAGTTGGTCAGACCACAACAGATATTTGTTGCTAATAGTATTTTGTTTTTGTTGTTGCTGTTGTTTTAAAATTTCGTTAAATCCTGGTATTATTTTTGCTTGTGTCGAAATTTTAGACACAAGCTAATTTTTTTCACAATTCCCATACACCGCAACGAGGTTAACGTTGACGCATGCATGCACACACAAAATACACCACGCACCCCCTAGAGCTTGGCGTCTTCAATAATGCTGCTGCTTGCTGCCTGCCTTACTGCTAGGCTGTGTATTGTATTTCACACCAAAATCACATCAAATCTAAATCTTGGCTTAATTGTGTTGTTGTTGGTTTTTGCTTTTCTTTTCTGTTTGTCTAAAATTAGCAAAATTATTTCATAAAATTAACAAATCGCCATTGAAGTATATTTTGTTTTGTTTCGTTTTTTTTTTTAGTTTAGTTAAAAATACTGTTCTAAGCTTAAAATGGCAAGTATTAACTCGCTGCTGGTTGTTGGATGGTTGCTGTTCGAACACAACTTTTTTTCAAATATTTTTTTCTTTCTTTGCTTGCTTGCCTTCTACTTCTTTGTCGTTTGAACTCTTCTCACATCACTCGCACACGCATATACAACCAACCAAGCAAAAGCAAGTATAATCGCTCGCCATCCATGCACTCACTCACACACAACACACACACTACCACACATTTCATTTAGGGCCACCACATTTTTTTCTTCTTCTCTCATCACCATCATCACACCTTTTGCAATTTTTTTTCTTTTCGTCGTTTTCAATTCAACTTGTCTTCGTTACTGCTTCTGATGTTCTATAACATTTGGAAAATTCATAATTACTTTTTTCTGGGTATTTTTTTGATCACCACTGAGCAGAGTATCAATTTAATGATTGTATTACAATTTAGCGCGTTCTCATTACAATTTAGTTTAATTTAACAATAGTAAAGTGTGAAAAATCTGGCTTTTTTAGCGACGAACGAAGAACCGCGTGAAAATGACGAGACTTTCACGAAGAAGACGACAAACAAGAAATAAAAAAATAAAATCCTATTGTCTCATTCTCTTTCGAAAAGCATCTAGTTTTGTCTCTTTCACACTCAAACAAAATGCTAAATAATAAAGAGAAATGTCAAAATTTTATCAACGACAGGGTTGTTGTATTTAGTACTATTTCTGGCGCGTTTCAATGCAAGTTTAGACTATGCCTTTCATAACGTCTTATAGCATAAAATGTTGTTTTAGTGCGTGGTTTAAAATATTTGTCTATGGTAAATGACACATACCCTCCACCATAGATATACTGGCAGGAACTTGAAATGAAAATATAGGGAACATACCAAAAATGGACCTATACCGACTTTTCTACAAACCGATTATGTAAACAATAATTTTTAATAGAAAATTATACCCTTATCCTTATGGCTAATTAGTGTGTATACACTTTCACACGGTGAAAATTTGCCTCATCGAAATATTGGTTCTAGACCCCATGTTTCTTTGGACCAAATCCCTTTCAGAAAAATTTGATTTCATCCCATCTTATGTCTTCCAAACTTAGTTCAAGTCCGAATTTGGGGAATATCGTTCCATGGCTTCTGGTACCTCCCACACAGGGGCTACGGCTAAGCCTAAATGCGGGCTATAGTTCACATATAGTTCATTATCAAACCGTAGGTTCTAGTTTTTTATCTCGATATCCTTCGCAGGTGAAATGATTACAACAGAGTGTTAAACGGCATATACATTAACCTAACCTACTTTATGAGGATTTATTTTACATATATACAATGGTTAAACGGTTAAATGTAAACGTACTATTAGAACCAAACCCAAAACGCGGAAAAATCAGATAATTATATTAATATAAAAAATGGTGTTATATGGGGACTACGCCTAAAAGGGGTTGACTATTAATAATTTTTGGTAGGGAGATTTGTTTTCAGAAAATACCAAATTTCAGTGATTTCGGTTGAAAAACGCGCTCAAGAACCTCAAAATGACGAAATTTGGGGGTACCCTTATATGGGAGCTACCAGAAAAAATGGACTTATATATAATTTTTAGTGGAGATATTTGGTACCCAATAAGAACCCAATATACCAAATTTCTGCGAATTCGGTTGGCAAACGCGGTCAATAACCCCAAAAATACCTAAAATTGGGGGTACCCTCATATGGGGTCTACCAGAAAAAATTGACCTATATTCATAATTTTTTCGGAGTGATTTGAAACTTATTAAGAACTCAAAGTACTAAATTACAGCCAATTCGGTGGAAAAATACGACCAAAACCCCCAAAATACTGAAAATTAGGAGATACCGTTATATGGGGGTTACCAGAAAAAGTAGACCTATATTTATAATTTTTTGTGGAGACATTTAGTACCCAATATGAACCTAATGTACCAAATTTCAGCTAATTCGGTTGAAAACGCGCTCAAGAACCCCAAAATACCGAAAATTGGGGGTACCCTTATATGGGAGCTATGCCTAAACGTGGACCGATATATCCCATCTTCGAACTTGACCTGCCTGCAGACAAAAGACAACCCTGTGCAAAATTTCAGCACCCTATCTCAATTCCTTCGGAAGATAGCGTGATTACAACAGACGGTCGGAGAGACAGACGGTCGGACATCGCTACATCGTCTTAGAATTTTACCCTGATCAAGAATATATATACTTTATAGGGTCGGAAATTCATATTTCGTGAGTTACAAACGGAATGACAAAATTAATATACCCTCCGTACTACGGTGGAGGGTATAAAAATAAATTAGAAAATATTTATGAAAAAATCCAAGAAATCAGCGATTATAGTAGGAAATTCTGTTCGAAAAATGTATTTTAAAATAATCAAGTCGCACTATTCATTTTTTTAATATTTTTTTTTAAAAAATCTTACAATTTTTAGAAAAGAAATTTAATTTAATTTTTTTTTTTTAGAAAAAAATTATAACTGATGATTTTTGTAAAAAATACTTTTTAAACAAATTCTCGCCGGAGAATTGTTATTTTCTTCAGAAATCATTTAAGAAAAGAATGTCTAAGAATTGGTAGTTTTTATGATTTTAAATACGCCTAAAGAATCGGAAAAATATTTAAAAAATAATAATGAGACACACTCCAATAGTTTTTAAATAAAACTTATGTTTGGAAATCACTCTAAATTTCCACTCAGCTCTTTTGGCGCAATTGACAATTCGCCCTTTCTAATCTTGACTGGCGACGTATTTTACCAGTATCGATTTCGAATGATTGTTCATCTTTTTACAATTTGGCATTGGCCATAACTTGCAGTTTAACACCTTCACCGCGCAAATCTTAAAAGATGAGTTTCCAATGTTCTTATGTCTCACACGACGAGTTCGATTTTGATATGTAAATAAAATAAAAGTACATTTACATATACGATTTTAAATCGACTCGATTAACGAAATCCAGAAATACATACCTTTAATCATGATCTAAATGCCGATTAGCTGATCTTTGTAAGTATACATATAAAATTATTAATTTGCATTAATTTGCACCGAAAATATTTGTTTGCAATTTGAAAATAATGAAAAAAATAATTACAACAATGGAAACGTTTTTACTATGCTGTGATCGTTTGGAAAGTAAAAACGAACACATAAAAACGAAAAACTCAATAAATAGTTTTAATTTTCCTTTTATCTTTCATTTTTGTATTTGGCAACCGTTAAATTTAAAAACAAACAACATATGAAAACAGTTGCAAATATTGGTACATTGTGAGAGAGTTGTATTTTTTCATACAAAAACCGCGTTGCATCTCATTAGTATCATGATTCCGAACATGATTTAAAATAAACACTGCCGCATAATGATTTAAATTTGTTTGACAAATCATTGTAAATTCAGCCTGATTCAGAAAATAAACCCAGATTAAGTCTTTAATCATGATTAAATGTTATATGCAAATCCGCTTTAACAGTACATGTGTAAAAAAATGTAGATTAATGAGATAGATCTATTTCCGGTCGTTCCTTTCTTGGAATACTATTTGTGTTCGATTTGAATTTCGCAACCAGATAACTCTACTATTAATCATATTTCGACCTACAAATCCCTGGCCAGCTGTTTTGTTTCATACCGCCGTGTTGTGTAACTGTCTGTGAGTAGATCTTTTTTGCTCAAAAATTAATTAAAACGTGAATATTTAACACAAAACTAATTGTATATTTCAGTAAACCACAATGTCTGCTCCAGCTGCTCGCCAATCTGTTGGCCTAATCAAGAAGGCGTGGAATGAAATTCCCGATATTGTTGGTGGTTCCGTTTTAGCCATCATTGGCTTGGGCCTGGCTGGTATTGGCTTGGCAAACTACTACGGCCATGATGGTGATAACCGTAAATATAAATACGGCTATGTTATTATGCGTCCCGATGATCCTAGAGCCGCCAAAGTGCATAAGGATTAAACGAAATCAAAACAGAAAAAATTGTTTTTGCTTAGCGAAATAATGTGATTTTTTTATTTGCAAAAAAGAAGTGGAGTATGCATTATAAAATAAAATAAATTAATTAACTACTAGCTAAGTGTGTGCTGACGATTTTTCTTTGTGATACAATTTCAAGTGTAATGTTAATGCCTTGATGGTTAAAAATGTTTTGTGGCAGATAGTGCATTGAAACGGTCCTGCTGTTGTTGTTGTTTTAGTAGGTGTTTGCAATTTTTTGTGATACAATTTCAAATGCAGTTGTAATGCTTTGTTTGTTAAAAATGTTTTCTTGCATTCCGTGCATGGCAATGGCGATTTCGTTTCGTTTTTAATAACAAAATTATTCAATTCGTTTTCTGTTTCTGAAGTTTTATTGACTGTTACATTTGTTGTATCGGGAGGTATTTCGGTTAAATGAAGTGTTGTTCCCTCGGCCATTATTGTATCCTTTGAGATATCAGTTGTAATGCTTTGCCATGTTGTTTCTCCCTGTGGCGGCTTTCCATCCATCAATTTTGCATGAATACTATATGCAATATCAAATTCCTTTTCGGCTAGTTTATATCTCTTCAAAAAACGATAGGAAATTTCTAATTCTTTTATACATGCAAAACAAATATATGGTGGATACCTGGATTCATTTTTAGGCGCCACACCAGTACAATATTCCAACATGTTGATGATGGTTGGTGTTGTAGTATCCTTACCATTATCGTAATCAAAAACATTTATTACATTTGTTTGTTGTGTATTACATGTTCGGCATAAATTTTTGAAGATATCCATATTTGTACAATACTATTATGAGGAGCTTCCAATGTTGTCTTTTGTTTTGGATACCAAAATACCACTATTCAATTAAAATGCCTTTTTTATCCTCCATCAAAATAGAAATATTAAATATATTGTATTTCCATTATCTTTGAAGTACTCTCAAAATTACAAAAGGTATTTATAGAAAAAAAAATATAATTTTACAATGATATTCCTCCATAGATTGAATTGGAAAGTCGCTATACCTTAAAATACTACAACTCTTTAAATACCCAGGCTCCTTATGCAGCAATTTTTTTTTATATGTGCAAAATTTGTTTATATTTGCTCTAAAATTAAAAATACACTTTTTGACAGTTGTTTGAATCTCTTTAGAGAGGAGCACATTTTTCCAGAGAGTATAACCTATAAAAATAAAAAGCGCTCCACCAAATGAAGTGTGCAAACCAACCATACATTTTAGACTTTATTAGATGCTCAATTTACATGAATTAACCATACGTTTCAGAGATTTCATGTTTTTTTTAATTATTAAAATTTTACAAAACAATGGAAAAAATACGATTAACATCTTAAACTGTTATATATGAATACCAACCACACAGCATATGTCTAATAAGAACTTGCTTGTCTACCACACCTTGTTATAACCTCATTGAATCACCCTGTTTTGTTTTCTGGCTGGCTGACAGCATGTTCATCTTCCCGTTTGACATAAACGATTGTGTGTGTTTGTTGCTAGAAGCAGCACGAAGCTTTAAATTTATTTTAGAATTAAATAAAACATATTTGCCGGATAATATACTGCAAAAAGGAAATATTTTGAAACTTCGACTTTATCATGGCTGAAACGGAACAATTGTCCAAAAAGTGAGTAAAGAAATCACACAGAAATCGTAATGAAATGGAAGACAACTGCTGCTGGTGGGGCTGATGTGTTGTCAAATTGTTCATGAATAAGTTCGCCGAAAATTTATTTGAGGTTATGAAGACCACACGCAATTCTTTCTTGTAGTTGGCAGAGAAATGAATTAATTTGGGATATAACACAATTTTTTTACAAAGAAAAAGAAAACAAGTATTATAAAGTGCTAAGTCCGAGTTAGGAAATATGTTATCTCTGCTGAGAACAATTGGCCGTAGAAGTGAATTGACTTCACTTGCCCGCAGTGTTACAAATAGCAGTACATTTTATTTTAACAATACGCCCGCTTTGCATCAGCCCAGCAAAAGGACAAAACTGTATTAAGAGTGATATTTATTTAAAAAATAACGTCATTACTTTAACCATTTTTCTATTACAGTGAACTAAAACGCCGCTTGAAGGCCGAACAAAAAGCCAAAGAAAAGGCCGAAAAGGAAGCTTCCAAGGCAGCAACTACCCCCGCTGCCGGCAGCACGGAAGGCAAAAAGAAACCCTCATCGGCCCTAGATGAGGAAATTTCACCAAATGAATATTTCAAATTGCGTTCGGCTGCAGTAAATGAGTTGAAAAAATCCCCCGATACTCATCCCTATCCACATAAGTTCCATGTTAGTATATCACTGGAAAATTACATTAATAAATATGGTAATCTCAAGGAAGGTGAAATGTTGGAAAATGAACAGTTGAGGTAGGTTTTGAGAATTAAAAAAAAAGGGTATGGAAATCAATGGATTTTCTTAATGATAATTTGTTTTGTTGTTGATATAGTATTGCTGGTCGTGTCCATGCCATTCGTGAATCTGGCGCCAAACTCATCTTTTACGATTTGCGTGGTGAAGGTGTTAAACTGCAAGTTATGGCCAATGCCAAATTGTACAAAGATGAACAATCATTTGAAGTCGATACTGGTAAAATACGTCGTGGTGATATTATTGGTATTAATGGTTTTCCAGTCAAGACCAAAAAAGGCGAATTATCAATTGCACCAAAAGAGGTGAGTGGGAATTTTTAGCGATACTACAGATCGTGTTATTCGGTATTGTTCGGAGTGACTTGCAAACATAAGTTTGATTTAAAAAAAATCCGATCGGTCTCATTATTGATTCTTGTAAAATAATTGATAAGAACTACCAATTCTTTTTTAAATTTTTTTTCAAAAAAAAAATTTTTATAAAAATATTTTTTTTTATAAAAATATTTTTTTTATAAAAATATTTTTTTTATAAAAATATTTTTTTTTTAAATATTTTTTTATAAAAATATTTATCTACAAATTTTAAGATTTTTAAAAAATATTCACCCCTATTCCGTAAGTCGTCGTCGTTGTCGACGACGTTTCTTTGTCAACAACAACGCATCGACATCACTTCGACATTGATTTGGTATTCTGTAACACTTATGCGACGATGTCGACTATTTATCGCTAATATCAATAAAACAAAAAACACATCTCTAAAATTAAAGTCAGCTGTTCATTTTATTTACTTTTTGAGTCCATTTATGCATGTCCCTCCGTCCAAATATTATTTTAAAAAAGTTCCAGTTTACCTTTATGATCCGAATGGGACGAAACTTTTTTTGGCACAAGACGAGCGCAATTCATATTGGCCAGATTTATATACGGATCCTATCACATATTTTTATTTACACGAAATGTTCCAAAACTTATTGAATAGAGTCGAGGATGACGTATCCACTTCTTGACCGGACATATTTTTTGTTTAAATTCTTTAAACAATTTTGTTCAAACACTTCATTCGTCAACAAAACTAATGACGAAGAATCTTCGACATCGTCGTCGTCAAACTTTGTTACGGAATATCAAAAATGTGTCAATAGTTATCGATAAATGTTCCTATTCCCATAAGCGTTGATTTCTTAGACTTTTTCATAAATATTTTCTGATTTATTTTTCTTTTTTTTTAGATCACACTTTTGTCTCCCTGTCTGCACATGTTACCCCATTTACATTTTGGCTTGAAAGACAAGGAAACCCGTTATCGTCAAAGATATTTGGATTTGATTTTGAACAATCGTGTTCGCGAAATTTTCCAAATTCGTGCCAAGGTAAGAATAATATTTTAATTTTTTATTTGAAAAATCAAAAACCCTAACCGGTTTGCACCAAAACTATTGCAGATCATTTCCTATGTCCGTCAATTCTTAGATCGCATGGGTTTCTTGGAAATTGAAACGCCCATGATGAACATGATTGCCGGTGGTGCCACTGCCAAACCCTTCATTACACATCACAATGATTTAAACATGGATTTGTATATGCGCATTGCTCCCGAGTTATATCACAAAATGCTTATTGTCGGTGGTTTGGATCGTGTCTACGAGATTGGTCGTCAATTCCGTAACGAAGGTATCGATTTGACACATAATCCCGAATTCACCACATGCGAATTCTATATGGCCTATGCTGATTATAATGATCTAATTGAAATAACCGAGCAAATGGTATCGGGTATGGTCAAGGCCATTCATGGAACCTATAAAATTAAATATCACCCCGAAGGTCCTGAGGGTCCCGAGGAGGAAATTGATTTTACACCACCCTTCCGTAGGGTTAGTATGATTAAGACACTGGAGGAGAAATTAAATGTGAAATTCCCCCCAGCCACAACGCTGAATACCAAGGAGACAAATGATTTTCTATCGGCATTGTGTGTCAAACATAATGTAGAGTGTCCCGCACCCAGAACTACGGCTCGTCTGTTGGACAAATTGGTGGGCGAATTTATTGAAGAGACCTGCATCAATCCCACCTTCATTTGTGAGCATCCACAAATTATGTCACCCTTGGCGAAATACCATCGCACCGAACCAGGTCTAACGGAACGTTTTGAATTGTTTGTCATGAAGAAGGAAATTTGTAATGCCTATACGGAATTGAACGATCCCGTTGTCCAGAGGGAACGTTTCGAACAGCAGGCCAGTGATAAGGCAGCCGGTGATGATGAAGCCCAATTGGTAGATGAAAACTTCTGTACCGCCTTGGAATATGGTCTACCACCAACTGGTGGTTGGGGTCTGGGTATTGACAGATTAACAATGTTCCTCACAGATTCCAATAATATTAAGGTAAGATCGTAGATGAGGAGAATTGAAATTGATTTATTTTATTAATTTATTTTAACATTCTTAGGAGGTCCTATTGTTCCCCGCCATGAAGCCAGATGATCCCAATCGTGCCCATCCTGCTGAACTTAGTAATACCGAGGAACAGAAGAAATAAACTGTGCTGACTCACTCCTATTTATATTTATATAGGAAAACTTAAATATTTATATATTAACGGAGTAGTGTTTTTTTTCTTAATGTGTTTCCCATTTTCATTTCCAACTCAAAAAAAACAAAACCAAACGTACAGAAAATAATTTATTGCCCCCGCCCTTTTCGAGACTTTCATTTGTGGTTAAGCAAGCGAAAAGTTTTTTTGTTGCGATATTCTGCATTTTTTGTAATAAAATCATACATTTTTTCCAATAAGAAATTGGAATAAACAAAATTTGTCGTTTATTCATTCGTGTGTATTTATCCTGTGAACTTGGATTAATTTTGATATCTGTGATTTAGAGATGCAAAACCAGATTGAGCAGAGAAAAACGCTCTTGATTTTTTTACCCTTAGCCTTGTGGCAATTGGGGTTTTGCTACGGCAGAAATGTGCCTCATTGAAATATTGGCTTTAGAACTCATGTTTCTTTGGACCAAATCCGTTTTAGCAGACAATTTGCCGATTTAGAAAAGTTCTAGTTATGTGGTGTCTTAGAGCATCATTTTTTGAATCAGACAAAAACCAGACAATTTCCGCTAACCATTGATGAAAGTTTCATAAAAATTGCCCCAGCCATTGTGGAGATATTTCCATTTGAAATTTACTCTCAGTCAAAATATAGCTGTGCTGCGATTCTGGTGGCCTGTTAACCACAAAAAAATAAAATGATGGCAATTTCGTTTGGATTCAGAATATAATGTGGTGGTTGTTACAAATAATATTGCCAGATTGTTTCTTTGTTTGTCTTTTGTTGTTACTTAGAGCAAAATAAATCATATTTTTAGGCGTTTTATTTAATTTTTTTGTTAAAACAAATCAAATGTAGTGTACAGATTTCAACGTAGCGCCTAAAAGTATGCTTTACAATATTAATGATTATAACGTAATATTTGTTGTAAATCAAATCAATGGCATGAGGTTGTGATTTAAATATGTGGGTTCTAGAAGAAATATTTATAAAAATATATTTTCTTTATTTTTTATTTCAATGAAATGAATTTTCTTTTTTTAATTTCAATATTTCTTAAGCTACCTTTCTTAATAATTATTGTATTTTCTCTTTATTTATTTTTTAATTCATTCTCATAAATATTGTGGGATTTTCTTGATGATTGCAGTGAATTCGTTTTCATGACTTAAACGAAATGCATAGAAAAGGATACATTTTTATACAAATGTCAATCAATAAAAAAAAACAATTGAATGAAAAAGTAAAAAAGAGGGAAAAGAGAGAATATTCATAAAATTCTAACAAATCTAATATTTATAATAAAAAATTAAACAAAAAAACACACATCTTCTTAAATTGTAAAGGGTATATCTTTAAATTCAGGATCATTTGCCGGTTTAATATACACCTCACCATATTTGGCCATATATTTCTTGATAAATTCACGTGATTTATTTTTAACCGATTCGGTAACGACCAATGTCTGGCCCACCGATTCACAGTATTTCAATTCTTTGATCATTACAAAGTGGGTTAACTGAAAAAAAAAATGGAAAATAAAACATTTGTATTTCGATTATGGCCATAATAAAATGTAAATGCAAATAATTTTACCTTGCGTGCCAAATGATTGAAATCCTCATTGGATGTTATACGGCCCACAGTACATGTATCACGACGATATGGTTTCAAATGATGTACAATAATCCCGGCAATTTCACAGCGAAACTTTTCCTTGTTGCGGCGATATTTGGCATCCTGTTCCTTGGGTTTTCTGTAAAAGCAGAGAGAGATGAGATGAAAAACAATTATTTTATAATTTATTTATTTTTTTTTATAAAATATATTAACAAAGTGCCCGCTGCTTCGTATGCGCAAAAGGGGAATAGTACATTTAGTATTATTCGTACACACAAAAAAATTGAAATTTCCCAATCTGTCGCCATAGTTCAATCCTACTATTCAACAGTAATATAAATTTCAAATCTCAGGATTTCAGCTCTATCCATTCATTCAAATCCAAATTGTACCAAATTGTGTACTTTTTCATACACATAAGTACTAATTTCTAAAACACATCAATACTTCACTCTAACAGTAATCTTAATTCCACCAAAGTCCAAATTGTACCAAATAATTATAAAATTTCTAAACTATTTCCATATCTAAATTCTACACTCCAACAATAATTTTAAAAACCAATAATTAAAAAAAATTCTGGAGTCCAGCTTTATCCATTCACACACATAATAAAGTTGTAACAAATATAGTACCTTTTAGTACAAAAAAGTACTAGATTTTCATGTCTCAATTCTACACTCCAACATCAACTATTATTCTAAATTTTAGGTTTAGGTTTTGGGTTTAGTATTTTTCGTACACATAAATACGAATTTTAAAAGTTATATTTTATAGCTCAATCGTCAACAGTAATCGTAATTCAAAATTTTATGTTTTCATGTCTATCCGTTCACCCAGAATACAAATTGTTCTAAAGTTATTGTCATTTAGTACTTTCGCAAACCATAAGTACGATTTTCCTAAACTACCACAATTCTACACTCCAACTGTCATTTTAATTTCAAATTTCAAGACTCCAGACTCCTATCTGTTCACCTACATCCACCAACTTGTTCGAAATTTAGTACCATTTAGAGCTTTTCGTACACATAAGTAAGAATTTTTAAAACTACCGTAATCCTGTACTCCAATAGTAATCCTAATTCCTATTTTCAAGATTCCATCTCTCAAATAAATGCAAATAATACCAAATTTTGTACCATTAAGTACTTTTCATACACATAAGTACGAATTTCTAAAACCATTTGCATACATAAACTGTACACAGGCTTAACATCAGCGTAAAAACAGTGGTTCCTTCGATGGTAATACATCAGCTGGCAATCTTCATACAGAATTCCTTCACCTTGCAACTTAAGCAATGCTGTAGGCGTCATGTGTTTTCTTCTAAGGATGGCGGGGAGTTCCTCGTTGTACTCCAGGAATTGATCCTATTCTCCACAAGTTGGCTCCTTTCCAAGAAGTTGATCGCATTCCTCATCATGCAGACATCGATCCGGTTGAAATCGATGGTATTGTAGACGTTCTGGTTTGGCGGGCGTCTATTGATTCCGTTGCTGTCTTTGTTGGCCTCATTTCCACGCATGCTGCCAATATTCTTTTTTCCCATGCTCTAATTCTTTCTATTTCAGCTGACGATATGTCTGCCCAAGCAGCAAAAGAGTAGGTGAAGATAGGCCGGATTACTTGCTTGTACATTAGTAAGAAGTTCATTACTAATGTACGCATACGGAAAAGCCTTTTGTAGGCGAAGTTCATCTTATTTGCCTTTGACAGCACATAATCCAAGTGGCAGCAGAAGTTAAAGCGGTCGTGCAGGATGATTCCGAGATACTTCATCCTGTCGGAAACTCCGATTAATGTTTTGGATGCTCCTCGCTGTTGATTTGGGTTTGCCCTTAAAGACCACAGATGCACATTTTCCAACATTGAGACCCCATTGGTTGAAATAGTTATGAAGTGTTTCCATGTACTCGTTCAGCCTTCTTTCCACGGTGCTTCCAAAGCGTCCTTGCAATGCCAGTAGCACATCATCAGCATACGTTAGCATCATTGCTCCTTTAGGTGGTCCTGGTATGTCACAGATGAACAAGTTGTACAGAACTGGTCCAAGCAGGGATCCTTTTTCTGCAGTTTTCTTTAAAGCGATGTAGGGGACCTTGTCGATTCCGTAGGATTTTTCGGTGCTCGCCGGACTATGGCGGATCCGACCATGGCTGGGTATACAAAGCCGTTTTCTTCCAATTGAGCTTCATTGCTTAGTGCAGTCGCATCCGCTTTGAGCTCGCTGTTGAAGTTGACAATTGGTGTGTGATTGCCAATGGTGTATCCATTTTGCACTCCGTTTGATGAATATCCGCCATGTGGCCATTCTTCCGCCTATTCTTCCATTCAGATCTTGAATGCCTTTGATGGGCTGCCTAAATGATAGGTCAGCAGCTCTCTTTACTTTCCCGTAGGTTGTGGATTTAACTTCAATATTCTCCAAGTAGCCTTTAAAGCCGTCCTTCTCATGTATGAAAATAAGTTGCTTTATTATAACGCTAAAGTTCCTGATGTCCGCTTTGAGGATGGGATGACGATCAGGATCTGCAGTTCTTCTCAGCGTGTCCCGGAGCCTTTTCCGCTCAGCGATGAATCTTAGGATGTTGGGTGGTAGGTCGCCAAGGAATTTTCTCCTTGTGGTTTGCCTTGACACGTTGTCCTCTATGGCTCGTCTGAATAGAGTACTGAGTCCATTTACGCATTCATCCACTTCGCTCTTTGTGACATTTCTGTCAGTGGGAAGAGCGTACTGTACTAAGCCTTCCAGCAGTTGCCTCTTGTATCTTCGTATTGTTCTTGTTGGATGTCACTAGTCCTCAGGCATATCTCGACTGCTCGATGGTCAGATTCGAATTCATACGTTTGTAACAAGCCGAGGTTGTCAAGGACAATTCATGTTGTTCGCAAGAAGAAATCGATGAAAAATCAACCTTCTTCGCCCTTTTATACCCTTTTTTAGGTTACAAAATATTTTTATCGTTATCGAAAATTTTCTTAAAGGATCGATAATATTCTTAAATTTATGTACAGGGTTGTAGTTTTATATATATATATTATATTCAATCTTGATTTGTTTAAAAAATAGTGGATTGCTTCAATTATAAAAAAAAACATATTTCTATAGAGTAACCTTTTCTGATACCTCAATACATTATATAAATCGAATATAAAACCAGTGTGTAGTAATTCCGTCGACCTACGCAAACCATGGGCTGGGCAACACTGACTGACACTTTTTAAATATTTCAATATTGGTCTTAATATCCCCTATATAAAACACGCATACATAAAGAGCAAGTCTGTAGAATCTGCAGTGCACGAGGTGGTAGGCTACATTGAGAGGAATATGGAAAATTCAAATTTTACGCTGGACGCCTTCCTAG